TAATTTTTCAGCTGGCCCAAATGCTAACTCCTGCTCCTCTGCGGACGACGATCATACTGAACACCTGCACAGAACACGAGAGCAGATTGTTGCGCTGGCTAATCTCAACCTGATCCCTCACCATCAAGGCGTCCAGCGAGCTCCTGCTCAATCGGCGACTCTTGTATCGACAACGTCAAAATGTAACTCAATAGGAAGCACAATGCCGCGACAGGAAAGCACTACCAATTCCTCTTCGAATGCAGCTAATCCTAGTGCAGTTGGGAGTATGGTCCATGCGCAGAATGTGCTCCTAACGAGCTCTAGCGGTATGGCGAGTCCGGCGCCAAGCACGCCGTCCTCTCTCAGTAGGACGATGCGCGTGCGACCCGCACGAACACAACGCGGTGGAGTGCCTAGCGGCTTTTCAAGAGACGAGCAGCAGGATGACTATAGCGGCGAATTCTATGAAGACCACGGCTACGCACAGGCCGCAGTCGAAGGTAGCAGCGAAGCAGCAAGTAAACGCAGTCACGCTGGCCGAAGTGCCTCTCCAGGATATGTATATGAATCGACGTCATCGACAACACGTCGGGGATCCCGTTCTCCAACTCCACCCCCCTTCTCTTCCATCCAACCATCGAGTACGATGGAATTTAATCATCGCGATGGAGCTGGCGGACAGCCACGGGCTGACTTGATGCATCTAGGACAACATGGCACCAACGATTACGATTCTACTGGAGCGGGAGGTGACACGACGTGCTCGTCGAATGGGCCGCCCGATAAAGCGCATCTAGCCCGATCGCGTCAAGACGCTGCCGATCCGGAGCTGCTTTTGCGGATTCCGACGGCAAGCAGCGCGGGAGTTACTTTTAACGGCACCAATCCTATGCCGACGCCGCAGTCCTCATCCCTCTGGACAGGCGATACGGGTTTGGTGGGGCCGGGAGGTGGTTGTCCTGCGCCTTCGCTTGCCTCATCTTCGCGGCATCCTTCATCAGCGGCCCCGGCGCCTTGTGGTGAAGGAGGAGGCAGAGCACTACGACGGCGGCCCGTAGGGCCAACAGCGTCCGCGGGGGCTACCTCGTCGGGAGGTGCCTTCATCTATCCCCCTCACAGCGGACAGCCTACGGCATCGAGAAAAGAAGCCGGAGTAGCGAACACGGACTGCAATACGACCACGTCGTCAGCTGCAACGCCTCTCGAGAGGTATGATGCTGGCCTTCACGGTCGTCCAGTAGATGACGGCAAAAATGCGAATGTTTCAGACTCGACAGGGCAGCACACTCGGTCTTTAGACGGGTCAGACCTCAGTGTGCGGTTTGGTTCCAAAACAAGCGCCAGCAACAGACCCGCGAAGAGACGCGACTTGCCCAGTACAATGGAGCACGATGCTACAGGCGAATACCCGACTACACGTGGCATTTCTGGGCTCGAGGAAATCATAAGTGTTTCAGAAGCCACCTACTCCCCTGTGATGCGCTCTATTTCGTCGCTGACACCCGCCTCGCGCTCTGTTTCCAACGTGCACGGGCTGGAAGAGTACCGCGGCATCTCCGACGCGTCTAGTTTGGCTCTTTGGCATCGCAGCAGGAGCAATCGAAGACGGGGCAGCCATCGCAGCACCAGGCGCCGTGGAGCAAGCAATGATACAAGTGCGCTTGTTGCGAGTGCGGATGAGGGTGTCCCTAACTCGCCCGTGTCAATTGGGAGCCACTTTTCAGCAGCCATGAAGAGCCGAGCAGACTACTCGCCTCGGAGGCTACTGGGAGCTCCGCCTAGCAAATCAGGTCAAGCAGTCCTACAAACACCTACTCAGGGCCACAAAAAAAGAAATTCTGCTTCCAATTATGATGAGGCGGACCTCCTGTTCCAGACTGCGGGGGTGCTACACGAGCAGCGTGATTCTGATGGTACCAGAAAGGAAATCCCTGGAACTAAAAGCGCTTCGCCAGCTGCGGAGCTGACACTAGCTAAAGCTAAAAAAGCCAGGAGTGACGTCGCCCAGAGTAGTCTGTCACCTCACGTGCAGCCCAGCATCAGCAGCATATCGAGCAATGGCATTACGTCGGATATTTCCTCCGTGGCGCGGACGTTGACCCAGAGCAAATACAGAGACTTGCTGCGACGCAAGCGCGCTCTGGACACCACAACTGAAAAGAGTAAGTGTCAGCATGGTAACGGCAACATTTCCTCGCCCGTGTCAGACTCGGGACAACCTGGCGAGGCGTGTCCAGATAGAAGCGGCAGTGCGAAGAGCAGCATAATCAAGGGTGGCAGCACGTCAGGTGTTGACATCTGGTCTTCGGCCTCACCGGCTAGCGGCAGCTTTGACCAGTCGACTGGACGGAAAAACGCACCACAGCGCCAGCACGAACACGGAAGTCGTGCGCGACCGTTAGCGAACCATACCATGAACACTGGTCAGTATAGTGCTACACCAGGGGCAGCGATGACAGGAGGCGGCCACAGTGTGAGCAAGAGTTCGGCATCAGTGCCGGCAGATTACAGTCCTAGTATCAGGGCTGCAGAGCAAAAGCCCATGGGATCATCATCGAGCTCAGCCCGTGTTGGTAATAACCAGGCCGAGCATCAACAACCTTTGCGGCTACCACCTAGGAGTCATCGGCCTGTCGTGGCAAAAGTTCCGGTTTTGACCTCCTCGAGCGAAGCTGAGCGAAGTTACGTTAGCAGCCCTGCTTCCAACAGGTCGAGAGCTTCGAGCATTGCTTTACGACACTCGCGGATCCTACAACAACACGAGAAGAAAAAGCAGTTTCTTGAGGATATGCAGCACCAGCGACGCTTACCCGCAAAAGCACTGGCTGCACCGGTTCGTCGCGCTCGCAGTAACGTCTCAGGAGGAACCGTGGACGAGCACGGCCGGCGCAGCTCTCGCAGAAATTCTGCGCATCAGCAAAACGGAAGCACATCTAGGCCACGCCCGCGTCGAAGCTCGGGGCGTGCCACCCGGGGGGGTGCCTCGCCTTCACCGCAGGGAGCGGAGGGCGCAGGACAGATACCACCGCAACCAGCTGCACCGAGTAGAAGAAATGGCAGTCACAGTAGTCGCAAAAATGATGCGGTTGGGCAACAGCACCCACGCCGTTTGCCTGGGCTCGGACAGCAGGCAAACAAGATGTTAGCTGCGACACAACAAGCTGCTTCTGCTAGTCCCACGACGGACACTGTCGGTCCAAGAGGGGACTCTCCTGAAGGCCATGATGCTGAGAGGAATGAGGAACAGCAAATGAAAAACACTTTTCTTAATTGGCGGGCCTTCGACACCGCGAGAAGGCTCAAGGCAGGCGACCCTGCACTTTTTGCTAATCACCCGCAACCAGTAGGAGCGCATCAGGGGAACCCGCAACAATTTGGCAGCGAGCAACAGCAAATTGACACACCAGTAACACCTGCACCAGTTGTTGACCACCAGCTGCTACAGGAGCATCATCCACATCGTCGCATTCCTGGGGAGGCAGCGATCTCCACAGGGAACAAAGTCAAAGATCTCGGCGATGATGCTCAGAGTCATGGACAGCAGGCGATATCAATACAACAGAGAGGGAGTAGTTCATCCGCCGCAATGGATGCGTTTTCGCCTACGCAGAAAGCGGCCTCCGACAGGTTTACGCAAGAGACTCCACGTGAAGAAAACGAAACCAGAGCCGCGCATGCTGCCGGATCTTCATCAGGATTGCCTCGACCACAATCTTCTGAGGACGAATTACGTCCATGTTCTAGAAAAGCCGAAGAGGATGTTGGCGCGGGTGAACGTGGAGAAGAGCAGACTGGTCCGTTGCAGCAGACGACTTCCCTAGAAACTGCGGCGTCAGACGATTCAGGCGCGTTAGCAAGTGCATCTGCGTCTCGCGGTGGTGCGTCTTCTTCAGGTGATAACTCTTCCTTTAGACACATTTTCCACGTAAAAAGAGGTTCAGGTGATAAAAACACCAATGTTGGCAGTTCAGGAGCACTGATAGCTGTAGCTGCTGCTCTTGGGTCATCAGGAGACGCAGCTAGACAACATGGTGGAAGCAAGCAAAAGATTGGACAGTCCAATGGCAATGGTCAAGGCGAAAACAGCGCACAAAGATTGAACTCGAAAGGCGAAAGTGTGGGGGCTGCATCAGTGTCCGGCAGCATGGCTGCAACAGCCGCGACTCCTGCATCGAGAGCTGGCGCAGCCGTTGCTTCGCTGCTTAGCTTGGTTGCTGGTTCAAAGAAGAGTAAAAAAGCTTTCGGCTCCTTTGTTGGGCGCAAAAAGATGCGAGAGCTTGTTGTACGTGACAACGTCACTCTTAGGGCAGCGGTGTTTGGCGAATCGTCACCGGGAGCGTCCCAAGAGAGCCCAACTATCATAGATGCAGCAGGAGGGAAGAACCGGGACGCCACTCAGCACCGCAACATGGAAAAGTGTAACGCGGATGGCGTATTGGTCTCTAAACTCAGGTCGCGTGGAAGCGAGGCAGAGGCCTGCATGGGTCTCACTTTCGTTCCTCATAATCTTGCAGACGATGCTGTGGATGCACGAGCACCAAATGATCAAGGATCGCAAAACTACCCGGTCGGAGGTTCGACAGCTGTTGTAGATCAGGATGCAGGCGCTGGTTCACCTCCTGTTAGGATATCCGCAAGGGCGATGCGCAGAATCGATGAGAATTACGCTCAACACAACTCATCGTCTAATACCAACATCTTCATTCCTATTGTACCAAAGACGAGAAGAAGCGCGCAAGAGCAAGCAGCACTGTGTCTAAAGGCTACAGCCAGTGACGGCGATTTAACAGGCCAGGAGGACGAAGACGATTCACCGTCAAACAGTGGTCACATAGAAAGCGCTTTTTCCGAACCGGACGAAGGTGGTCTTGGTGTACTGCAAGAGTTGCTCGCCGCACAAGAAAAAATGTCTCCACAACGTCGCCTCGTCTCCACTAGCGGCCGTGGGAGCTATCATACTTCATCAGGTGTTCTGCCCATCGGAAATGCAAGCGCAGCAGAGCCAGAATCTCAACCTCCAGGGGACCGCAGACAGTCGCATCAGGTGTCCGGAGCCACCACAGGTGGCACATCTTCATCATTTTTACCGCCTATTCCCTCAGTGGCATTAAGTACAAACAGCGGCGAAACGATGCCAAATACAATTACATCAAACGCGGCTCCTCAAGAACAAAATTTTCGAAACGTACCACACGATATCGACCCGTCGACACCACCGCTCCGTCAGCCCCAACCGCCTCCATCGCGTCCATCGCGCGGAACGGACACGAGTCCGCGCATGAGGCGACTCGAAGAGGCTGCTCGCTGTGCGCGCTTGCCACCTGAAAATCAAGCAGATATTTCAGTTGTCTCGACAACGCCATTGCCGAACGTACAGCAGAGCATTGATAGCGGGGCCTCATTGGCTCGCTTAGGAGACCAAGCAAAAGCAGTTCGTGAGCGCTTAGTCGCGGAGCAAGGTGAACGCAGAGGCATAGGTGAACGATGCTCATTGCCGCAAGAGACTTCTACCATGGCAAGGACAATCACCTTCGAACAGGAATTACACGAGCAAGGCATAGCGGATTCTGCGCCCTCCATGGCGATGCCCGCATCTCCTAATGCAACAACAAGCCATTGTTCGTCTGATGGGGACAATCATGGTGCTGCAGTTGCGCCAGGATCATCTAGTCTTCAGGGTGAATCATCTACAAGCGGAGCGAGTCCTCTAGCTAGACATGATCTATCGTCTTCATCTTCTACTGAACCGCCACAAGATGCAGGAGCAATCGCAACTGACAGTGCTAGGTTTTACGAGCAGAAGCTGATGAAACAGTACATGGCTCTTGCGAGTCCGAAGGAGAAAGGGCGCGATGGGTCACGGACCACGAACGATCTTAGCATTAGGACCATGGATGGTTGATACAAGTAGAATTTAGTGGATCTCAACTGCAGGAGCTCCTTGCGTTTGTCGTGGTTGATGTTGTAGTTCATGAGGATTTTTTAAAAAGGATGAAAGAGAAAGAATGAGTAAGTAGATCGTAAGGATTCTGTGCGAGGTGGACGTACACGTACTACTACTAGACAAACACAAAGCAAGATCATGACATCATGGAACAAGTCGAATATCAACACAATAATTTTTACAGGTGATCGTATATAACGAAACAACTCCATTTGTCTAAAGAAGATGGCAGTCAGGAGAATGCTGCTCGTGGACAGACGCACATGATGCAGTCTGGCGCAGCAACGGCAACTAGCCAGCCTGTCGCCTCAGCTTCACATCAGTTGAAAGCAGCAAGCGTTATGAGTGGAGATGATATGAGAATCATTTGTCTACAACAAGTAGTTCTTGTGGTTTTTACACTACGAAATCTTGTGGTCGGTGCTGTGTGCATACATAGGTTCATCAGACAAAACAAGTGGCAGGAACACGAACAGGATACAAAGACAACGAAATGCACGAAAAACAAATGATATCTCCAGACAGGAGTACAAACCGAAACCATGACGATAACACGGAGTTGAGAATGAACTTGATATTGATTGCAGCTCATCCTCTTCTAAGAATTGCGGTACAATAAATACGAATACTACCACGTCTTTTGCGGCCGCCGTGGGTGCCTACAATGTGGATTGCCTTGGTGCAGAGGCTGCTCCCGAGCTATACCAAAGCGTCGACACACAAGAGATGGGAGGCCGAGCCACTGCTGCCGGTACTTCTTCTTCGCAGTTCATGTTAAGAATATCGATAAAGCAAAAGCATACTGTTCCATTCGCGAAATTGATCGTCGTGAACAGCAGGTTTGAAATTGTCGGTCATGAATCACAATAAACACACCTATCAGTATCTATTAGATTTTGCGTAGCTCGTGATGCACGTTGCGATAGGCTCTCGCTCAACATCGTGAACCTCTAATTAGATCGAACTACTCCCTGTCTCATTTTGGTCGTGATGCGGTGGGCATAGCGATGCAGTCAACGAAGCAGCTGCTTCCGATGACCAGTTTAGCAGAAGATGATGCTGAAGAAGAGATGACAAACACGATTCTTACGGCATCGGTCGTAGTAGAACAAAGAATATGATGTGGTATCAAAGCTTATAGTAGAGTAAGGCCAATAACGGGCTTCGAGTTGCCACGAGTTGCGCGAGTTGCCGAAGCGAAGAGCTTCACTCCTGGAACGAGTTGCCACGAGTTGCCGGAAGGTATCCGCTCCATCGAAATGGAGCGAAGCAGGGCGGTGCGAGCACCAACCTAGCCGCTCGAAGTGGCGAAGTGTAGGAGACTGCCGCTTTTGTTGTTGCTCATGAAGGGGGCAATCGGGTACGGAGGGCGCCTGAGCCCTTATGCCTTCTTTTTTGTAGCTTGCGCGCGGGCGCTTATTAAACCACAACCAAGGCCAAGGGAGCGAAGGACTCGCCTCCTTGTTGTTTTTGTTTGACGTCAGTGGCGCTGTGGCGTGTGGTGTCGTCTAGTCGCTGACGATCTCTCCTTTTTTTCTTCGGATGTGTGCCCAATGAGTCCACTCCAGGGGTGAGAGCGAATGGCCCCCGTCTGCTTTATAGGGCGGCGCGTCCAGCCTTGCTTGGGGTGAGTAGGCTAGAGAAAGCATTCCATTAGGTGGAAGTGGGGGCTGGAAGTGGATCATCGCACTAGTTTCGTCGTCTTTACTTAGATGCCGCGAGTAACTAGATGACCAAGCAGGTGGCTGAGTAGAATGAGACGAGTTTCGAGCCCGAGACGGTTACTCGCTCCTGTCTCAAGGGTGCACTGCGAAGAAAATCAAGGATCAGAGACACGGCTCGCAGTGTCGTACGCTCCTGCTAAGGTTTCGCGGAGTCTCATAAAGCCGCGCCCGAAGGGCGCCGCGTAAAAAATTAGGGTGGGCAACTCGAGCAACCCGAGCAACTCGACCCGATACGGGTCAAAAAGTGCCTTATTCTATTATAGGTGTCACGCAAACAATGGCTGCATTGCAATATTTCTAAAGACTAGCTACTAATGCACGCAAGGTTAATAGTAATACTACTAGGTATAGGTAAGTCCAGCCATTCTCATGATCTGTACTTATGCTTGTTAATGCAATTACTCTCACTGGTGTCTAGGTCTACTCTTGTCGCTGTTTTGCTTCTGAAAGGTAACAATCTTGTTCTTGAGGATGTGAGCTTTAATTTCTCTGAAGATCATGACATGAGCGTGACCAGGAACACAACGTCGACCGGAGCTGAAGCAGCTACTCAGAGGAGAGATGTCCGAGCCGCGACTGGGAACAGCACAGGCGAGAAGGAAACTGGTAGCAGCGTGGGTGCCGCTGAAGCGCGAAGTAACTCCAACGGATTATGATGAACGGCGTTGCTCTTTTACCACCTGCAGGAGAACTTGACGAGCTTTTCATTTTCTGTTATGATCAAAATTGGACTCGTGTTACAGTCGAGTTACGAGTATGATAGCCTAGCCTATATAAGCAGAACATCCCCGATATTGACATATCACGCAGTTGTAGACATCTTCTAACACGATAAGAAATGATAGAATCGTAACCACCAGAACTTAGAACACATAGTCTTAGTCATAGACACAAAAACGAAAATCAAAATCAATTATCGTACATTCAAGTAGTAAACTGAGAAAAATAATATGAGAATCTACTGTTCATAATCCGATTCCTAGTGACTAATGTTCATGTGACCAAAAATAAACTTACTGGTAACTACATCTTCACTTCGTCTGTACTATGCTTTGCGTTTGGAAAATTTACAACATGTCATAGTCATCCCTGAAAACGTGTCAAAAGTTTACAACTATAACGATTCTCTTAAATGTACAAACGCGGCCCTAGAAGTGGCCTGCAAGCGAACGCTACCATGCCATAGAATATTTCGAACGAACAAAAAGCTCTACCTAGCTCATAGAAACAATTCTATATCGGAGAAATACATCAAGCGTAAAAATCTGATCAATTGTCACCTTCATGTTCATCAGTCATTCCAGTTTTTTTCATGTTCGCCATGGTTACGTCCCCACCTGACTCTGACAACAGATGTAAGATTCCACGACTCCTGCCGCTGCTAGTAGATACTTAATTACGGGCACTGCCTCCACGACAAACATATCTATCAGACAATCAGGTACCTCTTTAGTCAAAGCGACCTAGTTTCTTATCAGTAGCAGGTAAGTTCATGAAGTAAAAATGAACATTCTTCGTACTTGATGCTCATTACACGAGTCATCCATGCACCCATCTCATCGATGCACGCGACACGCTTGTACAACATGCTTTAGCGGCGTCGTGCCATATTCTCTTTGTTTTTATCATACGTTTTTGGCTGCGCTGGCTTTTATTTGCACAATCCCAAGAGGAACAAGCGTGTAAAGTTATGAACAGCCACGACTATGCAATATCCCTATCATGGACGGACATCTACTCTGAAAATCGTGCGATAGCACAGATAATGTGAGGACAGCAACAAGAACCAACAGTCTGACAATCGAAAGGAATGTCCTTTTCAGAAGCAGGCAAGAGGATGCGTTTTTCGGTGCTGCTCGGCATTTCTTTTCATCCTGCTTATTGGGATTGGCGTAGGTTCCGATACTTGTTGTGGTTTTTTTGACTAAAGCAGCAATTACGATCATTCCACCTGGTTTGGTTCTGCAGCAAAACGAACAACTCGTCCTGTGTTGGAAGAATGTCACCGCACACTGCCGCTTTCAGACAGCATCGTTCTTCATCACCATGGGAATATGGAGTAGGGCATCACCTTTATCATCGAACATCTTCCTCTTCGGGTGTCCTTGTACTATTGACGAGTCGAAGCGCCTTATTTTTCGTTTATTTTTTGATTTTTCCCAACATTTTTCTCTCAATCTTTGACATCCATGCTGAGCGTCATCGGAGGGCTGAAGACATTAAGGTAGTGGACGAAAAGAAGTTGAAGAATATGACAAGCATTATTTACTAGCGTAGTACCTATTTTTTCACACCCAGTCCCAGCAGGCGACGGCCGTTTTTTAAGATAAAGACAAAGAGGTATAATGAATATAAACTACCTACTAGTCGTCCTACTATTAACAAGAACTACGAAAAGTGATGTTTTCCTCTAGCATCTACTTGTCGTCTTCGAACGATGTTGGCAGGGTTGTCAGTGATGCCCAGAAAGAGCGGTGGTCCTCCTTGCTTTCGGACCGAGTACGTCGCAAAGCTGGCGCCAATGAGGTCGCCCGCTTCGTCGACCAGAATCGTGAAGAGAATCTGGACGCCGCCATAGCTTTTCTCGTCACGCTTGCGAACACGAATATTAAGGCACACGCACGACATGGATTTGGATGACGACGATAATATCAGATAATGATGAATGTAATGCTACTGCTGATGGACATGGACTCAACTGTTAGATGAAGTAGGCTGGTGTGCTGGAACTAATGATTGTAATGCTACTGCTCATGGACATGGAGGACTCAATTGTTAGAAGAAGTAGGCTGTTGTACTGGAACAGGTGCTGCTTGGCATAGTCATGCTTTTTTGATGAGGCGAGCACCTCTAAAAAAAGAACTGATTCCGTGAGCAGTGCTAGTAGACCGGCAAGCTCGAACTTTGCGGACCATTCAAGTCCATACTTGGGGTTGCGTGAGGACAGAGATGACGATAGCACCCCGAGTAGCTATCAGCATTCGAGAAACCGTCTGCCTGACGGCGGCGAAGATGCTCGAAAAGGCGGCCTTGTCGGTCTAGCAACGGTCGCTTTGGTGCTCGGAGGGAAAACAGCAAAGCAAGAGAAAACTGTCGCTGCAGCTTCCTCTGCGAACAACTACGGTCAGCAGGAGCACAAAAATGCAAACCTGCTGAAGGCTTCCTCTTCACCTGTTGCTGCGGTTGGCCGAGAGGAAGCTGCCCTGCGCGTTATTCTGAGGCCCGTGCTGTCAGCGCTGCAACACGACCCGGATGAGGGAGTCAGAGGCTACGCATGTGAAGCGCTATACAACATTTTGCGCCGTTTTCGAGCCCAAATCCTCTTCTATTTCACGGAGATTTTCCAGGGTGTGCTGCAAACCACCACATCGCAAGCCCAACAGCAAATGCTGCCTGGATCCAGCAGTGGAACAACACTCAACTCAGGAGGTGCTGTGACAACATCATCACTACTCGGGGGAGGCGTAGCAGGCATTAACACAATCATGTCTTCAGGTGGAGCTAGTGGGACAAATTTTCAAGGGACAGGAGGAGCTGCAAGAGACGATGCAGCGTATCACGGAGCACTATCTTCAGAGGCGCGCCTGGGGTTAGAGTCGCCCGAAACAGGGAATAAAGCAGGCCGAGGCAACCAACAAGATCAACAGGCGTCGAAAGAGGTGAACATAGGAGCAGCGACTACAGGAACTGCAGCAGCCAGTTCTAGTATTAATATCGTCGGGGGAACCCATCTCCAACAAGGTAGTATGTCGACGCCGCCTACAACAGGTAGCGCCGGGCAGAGTGCCGTGTTTTACTTGGATCGTTTGCTGAAGGAAGTGGTCGCTGCGCAACTGGTTTTAGAGACTGAGGCACTGCTGTTAGACGACGAGATAGAGGAACATCGTCTTTTTTGGAGGTTACGGTCAGTTCTTCTTGGTATCATTCAGAGCAATACTGTTTCTGTAGTTTCTCGACGTAAGCTGAGAAGCATTGGGGCCGGACAAGGAGTTTACGATGAAGGAGGACTCCTGACGCCGGCAAATTTGGTCTTCAGGAATAGTCAGACAGTAGATTTTCATGCGCTCAGATCTGGCAGTGGAGGGACAGAACAAGGAGTGGGAAGGCCATCGCTTTGCAACGTACTGGGGAGAAGCTCAACCCCAACGAACAGCCACGACTTCCGACTTGGTCGTACGTTGAGCGCTCAAGCAAATCTCTTCTCTAGTGCCGCAGGTACAGTCAACAAAAGCGGACCGTCCTCTGAGGTTGTCGACTTATCCTCGAGTGCAATACGCGCAAGAGAAGGACATGTCCATGGATCGGCAAATCTTCAAAGAACTCTAGATGTCGACTACGTCATCACCTGGGTGCCCATTCTGTTCGGTCATGTCGCAGATCTGAAGGACAAGGCTGAGGAAATGGATATAGCGAAGACAATGGCTGCCTTCCACAGTAACGCCAATGCAGGCTCATCTAGTTCTGCGACAAGGCCGTCTCCTCCAGTAGAAATGACATCATCTTCCACCAGTACGTCTTCATCAGGGTCCTTCTCTTATTTTGGCGATATTGCCGCGAAGCGTCATCGTGCTTCGAACCAGGAGAAGAGAGCACAGCGAAAAGAGCAACAGCCTCACTATCGATTTCCTCGCCACATAAAGGACACTCTCGTAGACTTGGTCTTACCTTTGCTCTCTCTCAAAGCCGCAGCGCCTGCACTAGGCATTTTCCACAATTCTATCCTAGATGCTTCGTTTTTCGAACAACTGGCTTACCCCTTGCTGGAGCGCGTGACTGATATTCCATCGCCAACACTCTCCCAGTTCTTCAACGTCGGAAGAATTGGAGGGAATAGGCAGTTGAGCACCTCATCTTCTGAAATCAAGAGGAGCGATCACAGGCTTGCGCAACATCTTTTTCAAAAGCAGGCAGAAAATGAAAATGCCGCTGATGCAGAAAGGGACCTCCACGACGAAGACGTGCCGGGTAAGATGCAACAAATAGAGCTTGATGATGAAGGGCCGTTTTTTCCCGACTCTGAGATGCGGGACCATTTCCAGCTTGATCACTCAGCTCTAAGGAATCTGCTCACACCGCGTCTCCTTACTGAAGATGGCACGAAAGCGCGTCGTCCGTTTCATTTACCCGGGAAGACATCAGGTGCGAATGTTCCTGGCGGGGACACGTTGGAGTGGTCAAAGGTGCGCATTCTAAACTGGAATTTCCTTTGTACCCTCGTGAGTATGCGCATGAGCTCCGGTCGACGAACAAGAACAACGGGAGACAGTGCGGCCGACATGCCAGGGAGTCTTTCAAGCTCTGCTGCTGGTGGTGCGCAAAATGAACTACAACCAAGCACAGCACGTCAACATCAACGTAGCGCTAGTTTGTCCTCAGCGGTGCCGGAACCAACAAATGCTAACGACTGGCAGCAGTTTGTATCGCAACTTGTCCCGATTCTCTGGTCTTTACAGGATGCTTTTCCGCAGTATGAAGGTATATTTGACGAACTGTCAAGCGAAGTCTTGGAATACGTGGAGGCGCATGTTCTTGACATGGATGTAAGCGAGATCAGCACCATAGCGACACCGTCATTTTTCGTTTGGAGACTCGCTTTGCTGGCAACAGAGGGGCTGCGATATACTCTTGATCATGTCCTCTCTTTGACGAAATCCCCCCACAGAGCTGGGCCTGCTTCGTCTTCGGATGGAGAGTCCTCTCGAGTTCAGAGACAGCATCAGCGACGGACAAAGCGACACAAAAAAGGTGCGCCGCATGGTCGTGCTTCCCTTCAGGAGCAGCCGCAGACTTCACCGCTTTTGCCGAGCACTGACGCTTGCCTGGAATTGCTGCTCGTTATTGTACGCGGAGTGATGACAAGATTTACTAGCCTCCAAAGACCTAACGCGCAATCTGGAGAGCAAGAACAGCGTTTGTGGTTGTCATTTCTTGACTCGGACGTTTTGCCGGTTCTGTTTCGCTGTGTGAGGTGGGAAAGGCTACTCATCTCTCGCGGAAACGATCCCCTCGTCTGCTCCGGATGTCGTGGTCGCATGATCGCGGAAATTCTAGCTCTTGTCTTTCGTTTTGTAGCTTCGCCAACAGGTGGTCGTCTCGGTCCTCTACTTGCACCACGAATGCGACGTATCTTGCTGTGTTTCATCCTCGAGCAAACGGATTGGGAATTGCACGCGCTAACCACGCACCAACAATTCCCCTGCCCTGGTGACGAGGCCGTGGAAAATATCTTTTGGGTGCGATTCTGTACAAGCGAGACAATACTTGTGCTGAGCAGTTGTACCAGTACGTCATCGGCTGGCACGAAAAGTCAAAATGTGCCTACTAGTGCTGCTCCTTTGCTTTTACTTTTTCAAGAATTGGCGCAGTTGCTAATGAACGGCCCGCAGGACAACGGCGACAACGGTAGTCAAGCAAACTCAGGAGAAGAAAACGGTTTATCGTCCGCGTCTGAAGCTGAGCCTGGAGTAGCAGGAAAAAGCGCAAAAGAGCATGAGCAGGAACAAGATGCTGATCCATTTTTGAAATCGAAAAGCGGACGAGGGGATGTGCCAGTCGCTTCCCTCATAGGTTACACCCTTCTTGCATTGCCCTGCCTTGAACGATTTCGCTTTTCTTTACGCTCACGCAAGTCACACTTGGAAGTGCGGAGAAAACTCCTCAACTGCTTTAGCCACACAGCATCTCCCGCGATAGCAATGGGATTCGCGTGTGCAATCCAAGATTACAATGCCGCGAGTAAGCTCCTGACTCGGTATGTACAGAAAGTGCAGGATGACCCAGAACTAGAACAACAGATTTCATCTCACATCGCGAAGCCCTCAAAGGACGTGCCTCCGCCTTCACATGGACGAATTACAACCTGCAAAAGCGAAGAAGATGCGGTTTTCGGAATGGCGTATCTTCAACAGCAAGTCCACAAATCGGTGTTTCTCCTGGAACTTCCCAGTTTCCACCACTGTCGCACACGCGCCACTCTTTCACGACCGTTGCAAGACGCTATGAACTACTTTTTCCTCCAGATGTCGCTCGTTCTTCCACAAGCCTGCGCCTTTGACGTGTTGGCGGGACGCTTACTTGCTGAATCTTCCATGTTGAGGCTGGAACAAGAAGATGATGGAGCCGAGCACGGTTACCATCTTCAGCATCCTCGAGCCACTGACACTCCTGAAGATGATGACGAAACTTATGCGGATGAATTGTTTCATCTCATTGAAGGGGAGGATGATGAGGACGAGACTGGAGCTGACCCTCAGCTGCGTGCACAAAAATTCAAGCAGAACGGCATGGATGGCATTAAATCTCAATCAAACATCAGTGGCCTCTTAGAAGACGATCCCTCTGAGACGTTGCTGTTGAAAGGCTGGCTCAAGGGATGGCTGGGATAAGCACAAGAAAAACGCAAATGACTTTGACGCTTTGAGTTTGACTTATTTCTTACCAATTGCCTCCAAGAACAGATCATTTCGTTGTTTTTTTATCGCAGACTACCCGCTCCCGTATCCACCTTTGCGGGGATCATCCTTGGTATGCAATTTCGGCAGTTCGTCTTTTCCTATCGCAGAGTGTTGATTGGGTGTGAGAGAGAATGATGGCTATGCTCCTACTCGTCTCTATGTCTCTGCAGGAATGGCGTGCGAAAAAAGTGTGGGGATGTTGAGCGATTTTTGTATATTTCTTCGTCTTCCGGAAATAAAGATAGGTGATGATGAGAAAGAGTGAGCTCATGATGACTGAAGCCGAAGGCCGCGGCCGCGTCAGAGAGAACTAAAAGCATAATCATGGGGAAGGCGAACTGAGAGAGAGCGTGAACTTCTTGAACATGAAAGGAGAGTAGGTCGGAACAAAATGCAAAAAGAAAGAGAAATAGATAGAGGCCGACTCGCCTGCGCCCACCTCTTCTCGCAGATACATGTAGGCAAGACGTATCTATGTGTAGCTTGATGTATTAAGACGGGCCTCTTTTTGATACACTCAGTCTACTCAGGGTCAGCATCATGAGAACTCAGACGTGAAAGTCATTCTCGTGATACTGCAAATACAAACGATTCAAGGACTATTCATCAACGCTATACTCTTACTCGTATAGCCGTTTCAAGCTGCACATCCTCATTTCACAAAAAATGCCACGCGGAAACAGCAGTTCGAAGTCTGGCTCTTCGCCGCAGAAGTCGTCGAGCGTGTCAAACAAGGCTGCCCCCGGTCCTAGTTACGGCACCCACAAGCGTCCGTCCAACCCAACACCTGCTCCGACCACGCCCGCCCCTGCCGCAACGCCTGCTCCTGCCGCCACTCCTCCTGCTCCGGTAGCTGCACCCGCTGCCCCTCCAGTTGCACAACAACATGCTGCGCCGCCTCCAGCAGCTGCGCCGGTTTCGGCACCACCCGCAGCTCCTGCTGCTGGCGGAGGTGGTGGAATGATGTCGGGTTTAATGGGATCTATGGCAAGTGGGATGGCCACGGGCGTTGGTATGTCGGTTGCAAATCGTGCTGTCGACTCGATCCTTGGCCCGCGTCAGACCGAAGTCGTTCATAAAAACGGTACTTCAAGCGATTCTACGATATTCACATGAATCAGAAAGATAGAACCGATTCTACGTGTCCTCTGCTTCCGTTCAACAACACCAACAAACATAGTACTTAGATATAATGACCATGTCCATTTGCATTCGTCACTCCCCACATTAACTATACAGAAGGAGCACCTGCTCCGGCAGCTGCTGCTCCTGCGGGTCCGACCTGCACAGAGGAAGCCGGGTGGTTGAAGCAATGTATTGATACGAAAGGTGGGCCGACCGACGAATGCAGCAAGTACGAAGAGATGCTGAAAAACTGTCGCATGGGTGCCTAAACCAAAAATATTTTTTAAATGCCTTGTGGTTCTTTCGAGCTTTGGGATCAGGCGCTACCGCTAGTAATTTATCAAAATTGACTACTAGACTTTGACTTTCAGTCACGACTGTTGACAGGTTATACTTATAGAACATGCATGGAAAAAGTTTAAGTTGTGATTGCTGATAGTGTAGTTGATACACGAGGACTAGCATCTACTAGAAGTAGGTGCAATTGCCCTTCTAATGCGTTGCACTTTTCTTTCGCTCAACATCTTGCAGTAAGTTTGAATTCATCTTCATCTGACCATCTTTCACTGTCGTTTCGGTCGCCACTGGCTGCTTTTGCGCGCATTTCGATATCAGATTAATTGCGTTATCCTAAATCTTAATCTGCGAATTTGGGGCAAAAGTCAATGGAGTGTCGGCGTTCCGATGTGGCGCTCCACATTTTCCTTAGTTCGTACCAAAGGCGAATATCTGCTTCTACTGCTTCATGTTGTTTCCTTATGTTGTAAAGCTAATTACATTTAGAACCACTTCTCCAACGTATACGGGCACGTTACCGTTACAGATATCTCATATATTGCAAGTGTTTTGTGCCATTTTTTGAGAAGAATTTGCTATGATTATCCCAGTCTAATCTGTCTAAATTGTTCCGATTATCTTGTAGTACATCAACTAATCTTTTTCAAGTGATTCTAGACGATCAGGATCAGCATGCTTGTTACGTAGTTCACAGGGTCTTCAAACCAACGAGTAGGGATGTATCTGTATCGGGGATACACAAAATTCGAATCTAGTACCTTCACCTAATAGTCAAAGTTATCATTATCAACGCCATTATTTACAGTGCCTTCAGCGACGCTGCCCCACAGGAAATCGCTAGTTCCTTGCATTTGTGACTCACCGAACAAGGAGGGGGCTCGGTCTCCTTCGGTTGTTGTTGGGCAACGAGCATTCGCTTTCGCATCCGATTGACGAGTTGGGAATAAGTAGAAGTACCACTTGTCAAGAGAAACCAACCACCTTTTCTCCATGCTCCATGATTTTAATTTTCGCAAGATGCAGCAAAGCGAAGAGTGACAACTCAGAAGGACGGCTGTTGAAAAAAACTGAATGGCAATTATTTTGCAAAGTTGTGCTAGAAGAAGTATGAACATGATCGATGCCTCTGCCTGCTTTCTAGGGCAGAATGTGTTGGTAAGCCGAGTGACTCAAGAAGATGTTCTTTCGACCTACCGAGTGGTCAACTCTGACATCAGCACAAAACGCGCAACAATATACAACAACATTATCGTGTTGAATTCTTATCCACCTCCAACAAGGGAACAATCAATCAGTATGGTGTGGATCTAGCTTCTTGGATCCATGTCCCTCTGTGCTCCCAGTCACAATTTCACAGATACAGCGTTTTTGTTTCTCTTTTTCTCTGTAAAAATCTATACTTCACCACGACGCTTTTGCCTCTACTGCGATTTTCTTGCTTTCGCGGCTATACAGACACCATATCAAAAACAAAAATCAGTCTAGATGTAGTTCTATTTTAGAAGAATCAAGATTCAGCACGCTAGGTTATAATTCATCCTTTCACCCTGGTTGTTTGATGTTTTCGTGGACTCTTCACTTGTCAAGCCTATTTTCATGTTTGTCTTTGTCCCCAACTTGAATTACCTAGTTTGCTTCATCGATGAATAATTTTAGCTTCGAGTTTCTCTTTCTTTTTTAATTAAGGCCACGTCCCCTACGTCGCCTACCCCCAATTGTTCCTCATTGAATACATCGACATTGTTCACTTTCTTACTTTTCTATTGCGCTACTACTTGATGGTTCTTGCCGTTTATGTTTCTTACCCTAAATTGGTAAGTGCGATTTCACATGATCTCTCGTTGACGCTGCACCCTCATTGGCCGCTAGAGAATTGAAAGATGAAAAATCCGTCTTCTGAAGCTAATAAGAAGGTGTGACTCCGAAGATCATTGTGCTTGCTGGTGCACGGCCCCTCTGATGTGGTCTCGCGGATGTGATGCAAGACGTGAAATGGACGATGCGCCGTTGTAGCCATCAACAGATGTCTACGTAACTCCTTGGGTTAGGACTAGGACGACTACTAATTCCACCCCTGCCTTGGTTATACTTATGCATAGCCAAGTGTGACCAGCAGCAGCAGCAGCGGCAGCACTGCCATTACTTTTACGTTGAACCTCTTGAAAAATCTCTTTCTCCAAGTCCAAGATCATGGCGCTCACAACCTGCCAGAAAATCGTTGCTGCCATCGTGGCACTTGGTGCCATGTGGTACGTGGGGAAGGTGTGGATTCTGTACCTTGTAGTCGAACCTCTGTTATCCCTTGTGTCCGAGGAGCCAGTACTGACGAAGAATTTGATACCACCAGAAGTTGCAGAAGAAATTTCTGGTGGTATGGATCCAGACGAGGCACGGGCAAAAAGTTCCCATGACACAGCGCCAGAAGAAACACAAAAGTACTCGTTCTTTTTGTTCATCATTATGTCCCTGTAAAAATGCTTGTGCTTCGTTCTCAAAAACGAGTGACCTGTGACGCGTTGTTTCATCCTGAACGTGGGTAAATCTTAGGACGAAAGAATGATATTGATGAACATGATCTATCCCGCAGCACCACGACTAAGTTTCAAATATGTTCATTAACGACTACATTTACATCGACCCTTGGTCTTTCTCAAGGTACTCTGCGATTTTGCGCAAGGCACTGGAAAGTGTTGCAAGGAGAGACTTTACGCAAGCAGAGAAGTGGCTTGCTCGCTGTAGCGATAGACGGAAAGTTCCGGCAAACTTGCTAGAAGTGGTCCAAGCTACTTATATCGGGTCGCGTTCTCCGATGGCTGACTCAGCTTTGGACAATGGCGTTCTCACGGCTCGCGGAGACGACGTCTTTGGAGAGTCGCTCTATAATCCCAAAAGACCGCGACAGATAATTGAAAATACAGAACCTCCTGTAGTAAGAGAAACGCCTGGAGATGAAGGACTTCTAGATGAAGAAATATCAAAGACAGAAGATGCGGACCAGAGCGCTAGAGGCACAACATCACAAGAAGTTTCTGGAGCAGAGTTAGTGCAAGCGACTGCAACTTCCAGCGAGGAAGTAGAGTCGGTGTATGATCCCTATTGCGTCAATCGAATCGGGGAGTATAAGCTCACGGGCATGATCTACGAAAAGGATTTCGTGCAGGTGCAAATTATTGAAAGTATGCTGACGCACAACATGAATATTATTTATTCAAATAATATAATTCTAAATCTAATCCTGCTACTGCGAGAACAAGAGCAAGAGGAAGGTGGATCTATGATATTCATATTTCTAATCCTCTGATGTCAGTGTCACCTTGCTCTCACATCAATGTCATCAGGTGCAGTCGTCCATCTAATGTTCTTTCTTTATTCATCTACAACACCTCTCCTTCTTGTCTGTCACTGTCAGGCCGTGGAGTATTTTGTAGAAGCAGCAAATGTGGGAAACGAGGAGGCACAGTACAATATCGGGATTCTGTTTGCGAATATTCTCGAAGAAGACCCGCACTTCGACATTCTGATGCGCATAGTACTACTAAACTTGATATCATCAAGAACTCTTACAATACATATTTCAATCCCAACTACAAACCACTATTGCATCAGAGTAGATTTACTACTTTCGAAAGAGCGGTATCAACATGAGGAGTAGAATATATAACAAAGATTTTCGGAGGACTTTTTGTTTACGCGGGAGGAAGGTAGTTTCACTCGTACGCGCGTCGAAGCAATTATTGAACAGCGAGATATGCATCGAGGACACTCCTTACTTTTACTACAACTACATCAACTCACTACTCATATTGCATTCATCTTGAGCAGGTTCACGGTAAGCAGATCCTAGAAGGTGGACATCGAACAATGCCAAAATCGTCAAAGGATGCGTTGAGCATACTGTATCTCTACGCGGCAAGCACTGCGGGACATCCCGGCGCTCTCATGGCTATGGGCTATCGGCACAATGAGGGTTTCGATGTGCCGAAAATATGTATTTTTTTTCACTCGTTATATTTGTTGCAAAATGAAAATGTCTGACTCAATTGTAAAAAGGTGATAGCACACAAACTCAAACATCCATTTTCTTCCACAGATGAAGAAATAAAGGCCTTCCAGATTCAAATTTTTCGTCGTGATTTTCACTCATTTTGACGATTTACTACATTTCAACTTCGCATTCCCATTCTCCATCTTCATGGCCTCTGCCAGGTTCGACCGCTGCGCTGAACTATATCGAAGTAGCGAAGGGTATCACAGAAATTTACTCCAGTGGTATGCCACAGGCAGTGGAGTTGATACGGCTCAACCTCGATCACAAGAAGAACAAGAAAATGATGAGCGAAGGCGAGATTAATCTATTTACGCAGATAGCAAGCAGTGGGGATACTGCAGTAGCAGCTGCTATCGGAAAAAGGTATTCTTGTCGTGGAAAATATTACCGATTGTTGTAGGTGAAGATTGCTTTTCAAATCTGAATTTGTATCGACACTTTGTTGGATAGTTAGATTCTTGGTCCTCTCGCAACGGCAACATCCATTTCTTGGTGCTTTTGCATTCAAATTCAAACGTCGATCTTCAAGGTATCTTCTTGGTATCGACGGTTTTAAGCAGAACTATTCCAAGGCTTTGGAGTATCTCCGATTGGCAGCGCAGGCCAACCATGGTGGCAGCTTTGGTCTTCTCGGGTATATGTATGCACTAGGTCTTGGAGTGGAACGGAACTTGGAGACCGCACACCAATACTTCGTTTCTGCCAGTCTTGAGGGAGACGCACTAGGTCAGAACGGCTTGGGCTTCATCTATTTTCACGGAACAACGAAACGCGATCGCAATGTGAAGCTAGCCTTTCAACACTTCAACGAAAGCAGCTATGGTGGGTCAGCGGACGGCATGTTCAACCTGGCGTCGGTTTACTTGACTGTTATGGCATCATCCTCATCATGATTCAGCAATCATGGGAAAAATTGAAGTATCGACTCGCAATATGAGTAGGTTCCTTGTGCTGGGCGTCACATTTTCTGAATTTCGGTACATTTGGCGCCGAAGGCGAAGCCTACTAATTGTTACAAATTAATAAATATGTGTCATGCTCATCTCTATGTGATTCCCATCTATGCCCTCTCTAACTTATGCGTTGGCGTCGAACAGAGTTTCCAAAAAGCGGTTCTGTGGTATACGCAAGCACTCGACAGGGGACACACTCCAGCCGCCTACTCTCTTGCTATCATGCATCTGAACGTACTGACTTGTTTTCATTCTCGCTTCAGTAGTTGTTGTAGAATTAGTAGTTTCTTTTGCTTGTTATTGTTTTCCCCTGATAAATATGAATAACGATAACTGTTCAATCAACAGCATGTTCATATTTTTCGTTACCGTTTCCGTTTCGCCTTATCCTTGCTGCTCATTGTGGTTGTAATGCCCGACTGAAGATGGACTAAACGAACTACTGTCAAAGCAATTACTCGAGTATCATATATGTTGTTCAGAACTTCAGGGCGTCGGCACCGTGCGAGACTGCAGTATTGCAGTGAACCTGCTGAAGCGAGTTTGCGAGCGCGGTTCCTGGGTGAGCAGTCGGCTGCAAGAGGCTTACGGACTGCAGGAATTAGATTCGGGCACCGGCAGCGGTTCAGCTACCTCGATGGCGACTGGCGGAACCGGATCCACAAGCTACACAAACGCTGACATGAGCGCTTTCCTGTTCCTCCAGTTAGCAGAAGCCGGTCACGAAGTGGCGCAGATGAACTTGGCGCATCTCTTGGACATCCAAAAGAGCTCCTTAGCAATGAGCAACCCAGTATTTGCGAGATTCTACGCACAACGATTCTACGAACTCTCGGCTGACCAAGGCAGCGCAAGTTCGGAACTGAGACTCGGAGATTACGCCTATTATGGCTGGTTGAGGTCGTCGGTACCGCTCTTCGATAACGGTTCTGCATTGCCAGCCGGAACTTCCAAAACAGAGAGCGGAGAAAATGCTAAAAAGCCCAGCAGCAACAAAGGTACATCTTCTTCTAGCAAAAAAAAGGGATCAACGGATCTAACGGACGACGATGATGAGCCAGTTGCTGATAGTGACATGCTGTCGGGAGAAGAGATGGATGCCCTAAGGGAGATGGGCGTCCGCAAGTTCACCAGCAGAAGCAAGTGGAGCGAAGAAGAGCTCCTCCTCGAGGCCGAATGGCGCTTTGAAAAAGCAACATCAGGCGGAATTGAAAGTTCCAGCTCCGGAGGGACACCACACGCAACCAGACCGCGGTCGAACTCCTTAGTAGCCGACATAGCACAACGCTTTTACGACGACGACGAAACATCTAGTGACGAGGAGAAGCTGCAGAACCTTCCAGGAGATAATGGGGACAAAATCGATAGAACAGAGTCACAGGCCTCAGCCGACGCCGCCGATAGAACAACAACGTCACAAGTAGAATCGTCCAGGAGAAAACCTTCATCCGAGGAGCGCCTGGAGGGCACCCGCACCTCAGATGGCACTCTTGTCAGGCCAGACGGAACAGAGGTGGATCTGAGCCCTGTGCCGGTCAGAGACTTCGACAAGCTTGTCGCTGCAACGAAGCAGCCACAAGAGCACTTTGACAAGATCGCGGCCAGACACAGCCATCCAAGCGACATGGAAAGCGCACTGGCTCACTACTGGAAAGTCTCAAATATGCAGGTCACAAGCGAATGGATGCAGCATTTCGTTGCCAGAGCGAGCTTCAATCTTGGTACTTTCTTTGCGAAAAATTTTCTGATCTACCACTTCTATTCATTGTTAGCAGGTAGCTATATATATTTACCTGTAGCTCGTGGTCTAGCTGTTCCTGGTGATTGTGCACATGCACCTGGGCCAGAGGAATCGAGATTTAGTACGACGTCTGCGGTGCTCGTGACCTTGACCTTGAGTTGAATTAGACGCGAATTAGTCTGCTCCAAATTCACAAACACGAACAGGTTTCATGTACCAATTTGGGCTGGGCATACCACAAGATTTGACTCTAGCAAAGCGCCTGTATCAGAGATCTATCGAGTTGGACCCCGCAACTGTCACAGCGCCTGTGACTATCGTTGTCAACGCCCTCAGCGTCCATAAGTGGCTGTTGGAACTTCCGACCATGTATGAAATTTGCACGAGAGTAGTCCGAGACCCCAGAACGCATGTGCTCATCCTCTTGGCCACTTTGTTCTTGTCTCTCGTCTACCTCGTCCGGCCAAGAATAAAGCGGAGGTGGACCGAGCGACAGAAATGTCGGGAGAGTGAGGAGTTCCAGCAGATGGTCGCGGACAAGAAAGACATAGCAGTCGCAACACTGCGGGAAGTAGAGTCGCAAGAGACTGCGCAGATCGCAGCAGTCGCAAAACAGGCACTCGCAGACCCACGGGTAAAAGGCTATTTGAAGCATGTGGAAGCAAGCTTAGACGATGATGCATCGGGAGGAGTAGGCACAATTACGTCTTCAGGCGCAGCCGCTGCATCTTCTACGTCTAGTACTTCTTCATCTAGTAGCGCAGCTGGTGCTGCTCCGGGAGCGGTAGAAGCGCCAGCAGTACTGACCTCTACTGTGCAGGCAGGGAGTACGTCAACATCGACAGAGGAAACGGGCAAGTCGTGGATGGCGCATGCTGCACACAGCGACTTCATAGTCGGTTCGTCAGCGGTAATGGAATCTGCGAAAAATAGGTCTGCGACGTCGCAACACTCCATCTCCAATGATGAAGAAAATGAGGAGTATTACGACCACAATACAGGCAGAGTTGTGATGATGAACAAAAGGACCGGTCTGCCGGTAGAAAATGCATTGTCGAGTAATGCAACAAGAACCTCTAGTTCTAGTAGTCAATCGGTAGTAGCTGTAGGAGGATCGTCCGCGTCATCTACCCCTGGCAGCTCGGCAATACCAAGTGGGGGCACTGCAACTAGTTCAGTGGCCACATCATCACCTTCCAGCACGATGCTCCAAAAGTCGACGTGTGCAACAACTGATGGTGGTGTTGGGTGTGGCGGAGTGTTTGATACCAGCACACCACCTCCAAACGGAGGTGTGGCAACCACTAGTGGTAATAGTAACGCTGGGCCTTTCGCGGACACGACAACGACGACGGATAGCAACGCTACTGGCGGTGGATATACACTCGGTGGAAATACGGGTGGACTCGCGGAAAGCAAGCTTTTGGCGACAGAAAAACAGGCCAGCAGCTGAGCCCCTGGACCCTATCGAGACGAAAAGACTTTCCCTAATTCACCCTCCTGATCTTCGATATATCTATACACTGAGCGTCTACTTTTCCTTTTCACATGTCATATTCAGATCGCAGGCGATCAATTAATATTTCAAGGAAACGCTATCGGCTGGAACCCGGCTCGTGCTACCCGCGGAAAGTCCACGTCAAAAAGTAGGCCACGAGCGAAGTTCGGACTTTGCTTTCGGCATCAGACAGCGAAAAGTTGAAAATGAAACTATGTAGGTATACAATCAGCAATGATTTGAAGGAAGAAAAATGAACTGCAAAGCATGCTGATCCGGCATTGTGATCCGGCGGTTTAGTAGAAACAGAGATGTTCAACCTTATCGCCTCCAGACAAAGCTGACCGATTTTACATTTTTTTATCCCGAATTGCCCTCTCTGCTTTGTCCCCGTTGATGAGTGTCCTCCCATTTCATCCGCCTTCCCGAAAAATATCTCGTCTAAATCGTTGCCACATATATGTCATATGGAAGAAACCTGTACCCTTTTTCTCAATGGCAAAATGAACATGTTGACGCTCTCCGACCCAGCATATGCTCTTTGCTGTTCTCTCGAACATACCGACTGAATTTATCTACACATCAAGCTCTAGTGCAACTAGAAGCAGTGATAATCTGCTCTATGACTCGTCGTCGTCTCTGTAATGAACTGGCACAAGACAGTACAGCCAATCTCCAATTAGGAGCTTCCGAGAAGAATAAGAGCATCGATGCCAGCACATCGAAGAAGAATCAGTTAATACGCGCCACAAAAAGTGGTGCACAATCCATAGTAAGAACACATCGCAGCTCACAGCGGCCATCAAAGAGCTGTAGGGAATCCCACAGGTGTTCTGGTCGGGTGTGTCGTTCATATCAAGCGATGTGTCCCACACGTGTTCTCGGGTGTGCCCCGGGTAATGCAAGAGCGCATGTAAGTATGATATTCTTGAGGTTGGCTGGTGTTCGATTCCACAGTAGAACGAATAGCGAAATTTAAAAAAAACTGGCTGAGCCTAGCTTCGTTGTGAAAATGTAATGCAGTTGAAAGTAATTTTCTCAACTGTCCATCCGATTCCGAGGTTTGGAGTCACTATTCCAGGAAAATACATTGTGCTGCTGCTTTCCATTATATCACTACTTCTATCATGAAGTTCGTTCTATATGCTCTACGTCTACCCCTGCTCGTCGTCTTGCGATTTTCAGTTTTTCATTGACACTGTCACCTCGTTGTACGACAACTTTGTGCTCCTGCTTCACCTAGAATGAAATAATTGGTGCGAGCTGTTGAGTCGAAAAATCGCGCTATTTTGAGGTAAGCATAGAATCGATATCGAATCATTCAGGATTCGTGCTCCTGTATCATGTATAAAAGTATCATCATCAACATCATCATCATCATCTAAAAGAATGTTGTAGTATTGTAAGTATTTGATTTATCTGATTGATGTTTCTCCTGTCGGAGTAAAAAGTCTCGAAGGGAATCTAAAAACAACTCATCGATACCCAAAAAAGCAACAAAATGCAGCGTCATCTCCTGGGATCTGCCATTAGCCGAAGTGGTGCTTCTGCGTCGGTCACGACTGACAGTGGGACCTTCATTGCAGCTCACGACAAGAGCTCAATAACGATGCTTAGTAGAAGCCACAGTGAAAAGACGACAAGATGACATCGAATCAGCAGCCCGAATCGACCTTAAAATGGGCGTAGGTTTGCGACATCGCAGGCCTAGAGTTTGTGACGGAAGCAAAAAAGATGGAAGCGCCGCTCGCTACTCACCGGAACAAGTTCAAGCTTTATGGTGCTCTCGAAAATATAATCCTCGTGTCACAACTTATCATTTTGATTGATGTCACTCATGGCAACTCCTTCTCATCTTCAGAAATTAGCTGCTGTGAATGTGCTTAAAATGGAGGTCCATTTGATCTTTAGGCTTAGCTGCGTCAGATGAGTATGAGCATTCATATCGGGATAAGAAGTCTTTGTTTGTAACTAGCTGTATTCTCGTTCATATCCCTCGCGGCAGAAATGGGGCACGCGGAAACTTGCGCATTCATTGAGCCGTCCCAGTGACTCCGACGATGACATTCTCGCATGGAGAGTTGTCTCTGACAAGTACTATGAATTACAATGCTAAAGCTAATATCTAAGAGATCAAAAATATCAGAAATTCTATTGAGCAGAACAAGAGCCGAATACCTCCTGTTTTTCCCACTGAAGTCTTCCATGATGCAGATTGTGTAACGATCCGCCACGTCGTGACGACGGACGTTGTGGGCGATTCATTTCTCATCACTATCTAACTCTATATCTTTATTTTTCATCCAGATACACCTCTGGCGACAGCGAGCAGATAATTAACCTGACGGTTATTGTAGGATAAGTACCCAGAACTTCCTGCGAAGGAGCTTCCGTCAATAGTGATGCAGCACTGGAAGGAGTATGGCTTAGACCAGAATAACTTAATCGAGTTCGGAGAAAGCCTGAAGAAGGTTAGCTTCAAAGTCGACCTAGAGCGTTTACGTGGCGAGATCCGTAAAGCAGGACCACGGGATTTCTTCCTCAAATATAATTAAGGCAAGGTACTTAGGCATATCTTGATCTTCGTAGTGATTTCTAGCGCAGTCCATCCGGATGAAGACATGTACCGTATCTATCAGATATCGTTGTACTAGAATTTGATGAAACCTCCACCTAGAACCCACCTCTGTGTGTCCTCTAATGCGAGGAAGATTCGTATAAAATATCACCGAAGAAGGCCTCTTCCAGATTATGGAGGATTTCCGCTTCACCTGCGCGACTAGTGCGGACATGCGGAAGCTGGTGTCGCTCATAGATACCGACAAAGACAACATACTGTCGGAGCAAGACCTGAAAAAATGGCTACTTACAAGAAGGGAAAAAAAAAATAGCATGTTTATCTGGAAAGCGTTGCGGTTTCAGCTATTAAGATTTTATTCGCGAAGATACAGATTCATACAGAAACTGATCTATCGTTTCCTTCGTTGTTGCGCTGACCACCGCTATCCGATCGGCGTCACGCAACTCGCATTGCACTTGCTGTATAATACTTCTATGCGATCAATTTGGTGAAGAAGAGTTGCTTTATCATCATGAAAGAACTAGGATTTCACGTTCAACGCCAGAATCTTTACTGATTCTATAATATTGCTTCGTGTAGTTAGTAGTATAAAAGCTGAAGTGCGTTTGTTTTCCAATCAGTATGGGGACTTGGAAACCAAAGTGATTCCTTTGTAATCAAAGTTCACGAACTAGAAAAACATAAGAATCATGTCGTATCGAAACAGCGATACACATTTATTTTCACAAGCGCGGTGAGTGTTATTATTACGAGTAGAAAATAGATTACAGGTTTGCTAGATGTAGCGTCGTCGGGGAGAAGATTGTCTCATAAACATACATCAAAGACGAGTTCAAGTTGAAGTTATCATAATTGGAACATTTCAAAAATTGTATAATTCAACTAACAATGCGAACTTTTATCTTTCAAGAGAAATTTATTATCTCCTACCTTCTCGTTCTCCACGCGGACAAGAACCCGCATCATCCATACGGTGGAGCAAGAACCAGAGGAAATCCGCAAAAAGTGGTCACCTCCATGATAGAGCCGCAGCTCGTCCCCGGTCTACGACCTTGAGCGGCTGGAGTGACGAGGAGAAGGAGCGAAGCCTGGAGTGACGAGGGGAAGAGAAAAGTGACGTTCCTAAGCAGTTGTGCTGGTTGTAGTAGTACTTGTAGTTAGAATTCTAAGACAACTTTGTACGCACACGCAGGGCCGTTTGAGAGATGAGCTTCATGAAATAGGCTGAGCTTCAGCAAAAAACACCTGAGGACTCAAAAAGACTGAAAGCATTCGCAGAAACTGGAACTTAGACAAGAAAACTAAACCGCGGACCTCTTCTAGACGTCTCTATTTCGAAAATATATGCAACAAAACTAAAACTAGGTCGTTATTTACAACATTTAAAAGATCAAGAAAAATCCTCCATAGAAGACACATTTTCGAAAACTCTACTGATAAAAATTATACTTAATCTTATTACTGTGAGCACTCGTGAGTGCTTAATATATTTTGTTGCACAAGTTCGTGCTACTCCTAATTCTGGTACAAAAATAAGAAAGGATGGACAGGAACTACCACCTCTTTCTCGCTCGAGTGTGCGAGCAGAGCGAGAGGTACGAGGACATGCTTGAGCACGTTGGCTCACTCGTGACGATGGGCACGGACCTAACACTCGAAGAGCGAAACCTCTTCTCTATCGCATACAAAAATGTCGTCGGCACAAGGCGGACTGCTTGGAGAGCGATACAAGGTAAACAAATACAAACTAGTATGAGGGTAACAATTAATACAATCTTATCTATCAAATAGATACACCTATGTATACCTGCAAGAACGAGTCTAGTTGACTTTGTACAGTTGTGAGCTTAATCTTCCTCTTTTCACAATAAACAGGAAATGTCGTGATTCTAATTCCTAATCAGGTATTGCGCAGCGAGAGGTCGGCGATGATAAGGAGGAGTTCAGGGAAATAATATCAACCTACAGAAAGACGATAGAAAAGGAGCTTAGGGACTACTGCACGCAGGTAAGTGCAACTGGCTCTGTTGCTCATGAGACTAATATCACTTCTTCGTCCTCAGCGCTGAAGACAAGCATAGCCGTAGTCTGAATTAGTGGACATGATTGAAAAACCCAGGTATTGAAGCATATCGAGGACGATCTGATGCCAGTAGCTGCGGACAACGAAAGCAAAGTCTTCTGGCTGAAAATGAAAGGTATTTTTACAAGAGTGATCTCATTTGTTTCTTCATCTTCATCTGCTTCTTGACAAGGATAGTCAGACGACAGACTGAGACTGGACAAGCAAAATCTTGAAGTAGCATTATATATAGATATAGATATGAAAACGAAAAGGAAGCAACTCGAACTGACGACTTTTATTTTCTCCTTTCACCTTTCCCCCAGGCGACTATTGCCGGTATCTAGCGGAGTCACTAGACGACAATGACGCTCATCACAAGGCAGCCGAAGACGCGCATGAGGCCTACAAACAAGCGTCGAATCTCGCACTGAACCACCTCCCAGCAATCCATCCAATTCGACTAGGACTAGCACTCAACTATTCGGTAAGAGTTATCTCTATTTTTGGGTCTGTGCTTTTAATCGCTAGGTGCTACACCATGCAGAACAAGCACGATGCAACAGCAATGTTGAGTATACGCTTATAGTTAGTAGTAGTTTATTACATCCAGCACTTGCAATAGTTAATAAAGGTATAGTATGCGCGATATTTATGGTGTCCGTTTGAATTACCATTCTACTTCTACTTCAGGTATTCTATTACGAGATATTGAATAGTGCAGAAAGGGCTTGCCTCCTCGCGAAGGCAGCCTTTGATGATGCCATACCGAAAATGGAGCATCTAGACGATGACAACTATAGGGACAGCGCCACCATCATGCAGCTTCTCCGCGATAACCTAACGCTGTGGACTTCGGACGTGCATCCGGTGAACGAAGATCAGCTCAACGTGGAAGATGTCGAAGCGTGAAGATGATCTTCTTGCGAAGCTGCGAAAGTTGTAAAAACTGGAACTTCACCACCGCGCTTCCACTACAACTACCAGACAACACTTCAACAACAACATACAACCTATACTTTATTGTACAGTACAAAAAATATTGAATTGAGTTTTCTAGACTATGTATCATTTGCTGGATCAAAGTGTTGAAGAGAAAGAGTTTGAAATTCTGATTCGTATACGATTTTTGACAACAAGTACAACAACAACCTCTACTTTTACAACTCATTTAAGCTTATACTTCACCGATTCTGATAGCACAGCAAGGGCATGCTCACTGGAATTCGAACAAGACGATGGACCTGCTCGATAATACACGATGATTTCGATTTGGCCGACTCAGTCACCCGGCGGACTCTGGCGCTTTTACACATCATCCCCCCTGACTCCTCTAGTAAGTAGCCACCTAACACCACCTGTAGTTTTTTTCAAGTAACATCGAAAAATAGTGGAGGATGAGATGTCGGCCATAAAACTACGTTGATATTACGTAAACAGAGTACTTGCAACATATCTGAGTATTGTCGATGACTTCTATTATCAAGCAACATCTCAAACATAAAGAAAAGGAGGTCGGACTCAAATAATGTTGAAGCAAGGCAAACGCAAAGAACGGATCTTCGAAAATTGCTTATGCAAGAATCTCCATAGATATCTAACGATCCATTACGTTGGACTGGCACTGGTAGGCCGCACGTGTCAATGACAATGATTCATTTGCCAGCGCTAGTCGTTTCTTGGTGGCTATAAAAGTTGCAGACACGACACTACTCTTTCCTCTCTTCATGAACATGATAATTCCTTATCATAACAAGCCCTCATTTTAAGCATCAAGCAGGCTTGGCTATAGAATTGCGAAGCGGATGGCACTGGGACCGACACTCTTCGTGGAATGCTCCTGATATCGAGAACTCCAACTCGTGACTCTCTGTCCACCGACGTCTTCGTCAGAGTCGTGCTAATCGGTGATGCGGATAATCATCATGATCTCGCGACTCCGATTTACCGCTCCCAATAGAAGAATGTTGAATTTCTGAATGAGTCCTTGATACGATTTCGATTCGGTTCTGTGCAGTGAAAACATCGGTTCCTAGTACGTCGGTTCGATTCCAAGATGATGTACTTATAGCTTTGGCTGTCTAGCACATTGCTATTGGTATCGGTGTCTTCCTCGAAAAGCCGGGACATCTTTCAGAGCAGATTCCCGCCTTTAGATGTTAAACCGAACGAATTTAAACGCGACGTCGCTGCACGATATGGCAAACTCAAATATGATTCATCTCTCGCTTCACAACAAGAGTACTTTCACACGTTCTGATTTTGCACGACCTAGCAAATCGAAGTATGTAATTAGAAGAGAGGACAGACCGAATGCCTGCCGTCCTAGAAGTACATGCTGCTCGAGTGCCATACCTTTGATTGATGTAGCAACAAGAATGACTACATCACAGGCCTCTCATCATCCTTCGCCATTAGTGGTTCGATTGAACGCTCGACAGACGATCGATTGGACGACAAGCGGTTCCCAGCCCTTCGAGGCAGCTCATGACTTTCGCATCTTTCTCTCTCCTGGATTGCAGGAATCTTCGGAGGAGCGCGGCGACTATGAGGAAGTAGGGAAAAATGTCGACGCCGGTGCTGAAGGCGCTGATGATGGTGAGTCACAGGAAGGAGCAGGTGCTGACGACGGCGAGCTACAACATCAAGGTACCAACCCCAAGGATGCTAACAATGTCGAAGAACAGCCAAGGAGGAACAAACTTCCAGACGCAGCAAGAACGTCATTGTTGGAGAGTGAGAAAATGGAGGAAGCTGATGAAGTCGAGCATGCGATTGAGCGCGCAGAGGCAGCTGACAACGAGACGGAGGCTGACGATCCACCTGACATGATGATAGGTCACGAAGAGGAGCAGGCGCAAGTAGAAGGAGAAACAAAGACTCGGGGAATCGATGGAGGTGTTGGAGAGGAGGCTGTGGAGCCATCTGCGACGGGGATTCCGAAGAAAGCCTTCGTCAGCTATCCAGGACGCCGAGAGCAAGCAAAGCAGGGCACGACAGGTGATGGAGACGTGGCTTTCTTACCGTGTACAAGCGCGGTAAAAGGCAAGAACAGCAGGTGGACATCGGACGCGGGCCGTGGACATGGTTCCGCAGAAGAAGCGGAAGAGGAGGACATGGACAGTCCGAGTGGGCAGCAAGATTTGTCCGCAAACGCGACAGCCAATACTTCTGGGAACGTCGACAAGTACGACGATGCGAATGGCTCATGCAGTCTTTCTTTTCCGAAGTATTTGAAGCTCCAGAACCAGAACTCGCAATTGTCAACACTTTGCGAGACACATGCTGAAGGCGAGGCAGACTGCGAAGGAACAGTACTAGGACAAGGTAAAAATACGCCAACACTTCGGTGTCGGTGGAAGGATGGAGCGTGCTTTCATCCTCAAGCAGACTCGTTTCAATGTCGATGGAGAGGCGAAGATACCTGCGTCAGCGCAACAGCTGGGAATCCACTGGAGCAGCGATGTACTTGGCTCAAATCTTCGCCAAAACAAGGGAGATGTATGTTGGAGGAATTTGCAGTATTTGAGAGAGCCAAAAAAATCTGTTCAGAATTAGCTTCTGGTTCTGAATGCAAAGCCGTACCAGAATGCGAGTGGAAGAGAGGGACACGGAGATGGACTGCTGGTGGACGAGGACAGACTTCATCGAGTAGCGTAGCTGAGCTGGAAGGACACGATCATGATCTGCATGCTCGCTCCTTCGTAGAAACGTTGGGCGCAATCGACCTTGACGCGGATCTCAACGCACCACCCAAGATAGTGCACTTCTCATTGTGCAGCACTGGTCTTCCGTCGTCCGCGGCGGCGCACAGCCATGCAGTGGGAATTGCGCGGCAAAAGAAGGAGGCCGAATTGTTGGAAGCGATCAACGGAACCGGGGAGCACGTGGATGTCGAGGATGTAGCTGATCAAAACAATTCCTCGAGAAGTACTTCAAGCGCAAGCAATGCCGAGCAAGATCCTCTAGCTTCCGACGGTGACTCCAACGCAGAGCGACTAGATGGAGGCTCCACTGGCGAGCAAGAGCCTTTGAGGGTTGAGGAAACAGACGGGCTCGCCGCAGCTACGAGTCAAGAGATAGCGCGGGATGCGCGTGTGGCGGGAAAAGCTTTAAACAAGCTTGAGAAGGATGAACATCCGGCTCCGTTGCCAAGCGACAAGTGGGACCCGGATGTGAAGGGAATAAAGACAATGGAAAGCGGTGATGAAAAAGTAAAAGCTGCAGTGGACGTTAAGGTTAACGACTTCACCCCAACGCAGAGTGTTGATGCGAATGGTTTAGGCGAAGGGAAGGCTCTCCACGCTGCAACGACGGCGGATGCCGCAGTGTCGAATGATGACGCTGAGAACCCACAGGAGGACAAGGAAGCAGTTTACATCGCTAGAGGGGCCGGCGTGGCGCCTCTTCCTCCAGAAATTCCATCTGGAGACCGACCGGAAAAACAGAAGAACAAGGTGAAGGCCGAAAAGATAGGCAAAAACAAAAAGAACAAAAAGAAAAAGAAGGCGGCTGCCGGTGCTGGGAGTGCAGAGGCGGCTCCGTCGCCAGAAGACGCGCCTGAGACGAAAAAATCCGGAAAACCATCCGTGTCACCGGGAATCAAAATTGGCGATCCAGAATGGCGTGTTGAGTCGCGAATGGCCTCGTTGCAAAGTTCACGGAATCTACTACAAGGGAACGCGGCACAAATAGGCGAATATCCTTCACTAACAGAAGCACAGCTGAAGACAGACCTTCGGCGCCACGATTTGGGCGAAAGATTTTCTCTCTTCCAGCAAGAGCATTACGCTGGTAGAGGGTATGGGAACGCGCAGTATCGGAATTCAAACACCTTGCGTCTGATTCCATCGGCACAAAGCCCTGGCGCGATGGACGACTCAGCATTCGCTAAAGCTCTAATCGAAGACGACGCTGAGGACGGTGAGAACGAAGACGAACAGCAAGGGGGTGGAGGTTCCTGCGGCTTCGTGGCTGATGCGAATCGCACTGTCTGTTCTCGCGCTACGACAGCCTCAACATGCAGGAACAGTGGACCCGCCCACAATTGCCGCTGGGTAGAGGTGAAGGATCCACCTAGTGGAGTCTGCTCCGGTTTGCTTTCGTCAGATCCTACATGCGATCAACATGGGAAAATTGATCAAGGATCATGCGAGTCGAATGGCAACTGTCTTTGGCAAGTCCACATCCAGGAGGAGTTCGGAGCCTGCCACATAAACACCGCGAGCGCAGCCTGCACCGGCTTCTCCGATCGTGAGAGCTGTGAAGGTGGTTCCATTCCACCTTCGCCAGGAGGTGGACAGCGATCGGCGATCCAGAAAGAAACAGTTTGCGAATGGCGGGAAGAAGATACTCCTAAGGCGGAAACGGGAGGGACGGGAACTTCTACGTCGGCTGGCGCTAGTGGCAATAACACTGCTGGTGGAAAATGCATCGTCAGGCAGAACACAGCGACTGTATGCGCTGAGACACGTGAAGAGAAGGCGTGTAAACAGCTGCTTGGGCACGCGTGCACTTGGGACAGCACTGCTCCGAAACCAAAGCCAGGAAAATGCCTCTACCAACCAGACAGTCGCCGTCAGCGGTGTCAGAATTCTACAGATTCGCTTTCTTGCGTTGGCACCCCTCCTCCAGGCGCGAAAGACCTGAAGAACTACGACGGATCTGACATTGTCGGAAGCAAGTCGATTTTAGGCGAACAAGACTGGGGTAACTGCCGCTGGGTACTTCGGGACGGAGACGCCTTCCTTTTCGATACGGGATTGGCGGATTCTGGAGGCGCGTCTGGTGCTAATCTTGTAAAGCCTCAGGTCTATTGTGCTGCGCGAATCCAGCATACTGCCCACGCCGACCTAGCACAGCAAGAGGCAATCCGGAAAATGTGCGAATCAAAGGACGAAACCCGCTGTGAGCGCTATGCTGCCTGCGAATTGAAAGATGAGCGAAAACGCCTTTGCCTTTACAACGAAGACCTCAAAACTTCGCGCTGTGGATCAGCCAACAACGCAGTTATCGGCATTGATCTCGATGATAATGCCGAAAGAAAGCGACTCTGCGAGTCGACTCGTGCGTCTGTTGATCTCGCTGATGACGAAAAATGCGTTTGGAATCCGAATGCGGGTTTATGCGAAACTGCGTTACAGCAATCTAAACGCCAGTGTGATACACGAAAAGTCCAAGCGGGGAGTGAGGCTGAGGGAACGACTAAGAACTCAGATGACGCCGGCTTAAGTACACCTGTAGTGCTAGTAGAGAAAGAAACGCGCCACACATGTGAAGCCAGAGGTCCACAGTGTCGTTGGATTCCGGACGAGGCTGCTCGAGAGCAACACGCACGCAAACTTGTGCTCCTAGCGCAAAGCCGCACTGCTGGAACTGTGGAGCAGCGTCAACGCGTCAGTCAACTACTGCTTCCAGCGTTTCCAGTGAAGTCGCTAGCTGATGTTGATATCCAGGTGAGGCGGAAACGCACGACAGCAGAGGCTTGTGAGCGAGAGACGACGATTGCATCGCGAGCATATGCTGCGGATAGAAGCGCGCACGAACAGGAGCAGAGATTGCATGAAATTCAAAGTGACGTTGATGTGGGAACTGCGCGTGCAGGTGCATCCCCTGCAGCGATGAAGCCTGTTGCCTTGACGAAGCCACACATCCTGCCTTTCTACCGGAATCTTTCTGGGTGGGAGGAGAGTGGGGCCGGGGCTAACGCAGCAGATGCTAGCGCATCGAAAGTAGGGGACGAGAACGAGATCGAGAACAAAGCCAAGGCTTCTCCGACTCCAAAAGAACAAGAAGTAAAGGGAGAGGACTCAGGCATAAACGACAACCAGGCCAACGCCCCTGGTGTCGGTGAAACACAAGAAGAGAGACAAGCACGAGTTCCAGCAGTTGACCTTGTTTTTCCATCCGATCAAAGTGGCGGCTCTTTTTCCTCCGCTGCAGTTTTGCCGGACCTAAAGAACCAATTTGGAGGCTCTAAAACTACGCTATCGCTAGGCCAGCCGCGGTGTTACTTTACCACAGATCGGGTGGTGCTCGATGGCAATGAAGTACTCGATCAGATGTGGCAACGATTTCGCCGCTTTCGAGGTCTCACTGACTGGGCTGCAGGAGAAGCATGGCGTAGCTCGATGTCTCATTTTTTCGAACATCAGGTGCACGTGTTGAAACTTGCTACAGGAGTAATCGAAGGTGTTGAGCGACTGCACAATATCCAGTGGACGCAGAAAGATTTGGAAGTATTGTTCGGCGGAGAGCGGTAGCGCTCTTTTTTCTGGTTATTCTTATTTTCTGTTTACGTGTACTGCGCCCAACGAATACACTCATCATTTTGTTTAAATATGTCTAGTAGTGATTTATGCGCCCCGCCCATGTTTTCAGGTTCATTCCTCCGCTGCCACTTCGAGGTATGCAGCACCGTCGGCTCGATAAGCTTGAAAACTTCGTGTGGACAAATCAAAAGCCAACCCTGAGTTCCCCTTCACAAGCCCACAATATAGCCGGACAAGTCGGACTCGATGATGTCAAGATAACAGGCTTTGAGAACGCTCAAGTGATAGGGACACGGATTCGTGGAATGCGGCACGCTTACGGCGAATTCCTCAGGAAGTCCCTGGAGGAGGAGGGGATCTCATCATCTTCGGATCAATCTCTACCTCCAACTTCGGAAGATGAAGACGCGGGTACTACACCAAGCCATCAAGACGAGGGCACCACACGAGAGGGTGATGGGCTAGACGAAGACCAACCCAAGGAACCAGTAGCGCAACACGTTCCAATTCGGCACCATCGCGGAGCAGGTCCCGAAACCTACCACGACGGAATTGCGTCAGCGCAGGAGGACTACCACACCTTGAGCGGAAGTCTATTACGGGTTGGCTGCCTGATCCGGAATGATGGAGAGAGCACAACAATCCGCACCGACGATCCTCTAGGTGTAGATAAGCGCAAACGTTTTGCGGGAAGGTTTACGTTTGGGCGAGCCTTAGGGAAAGAACACGGGTACGGAACAGAGATTAATGCTGAAGCTGCCAACTTGGAAGATGGAGGACGAGCAGATGGATCCTCGGGAATTCCTAACTTTTTCGGGTCTTTACAAAACACGGCGACGGGAGCTGTTAGCAACAGTCACAAGAACGCAGAGACGATGGCTCGTGCCTTGCTGCAACAAGGACAAGAGAAAGTTGCTAAGGCAGTACCTGAACCCATTTCAGATGTCGCGGCGTCACAAAGCCTTCTCGGGTTCCTTAAGACCTTGGCGATGCAGAAAGAGGTTGGAGCTAAGGCTGCTACGGGAAATGCTCCGGAAACAAACTTAAACGGGGAGGATTTACTCACTGAACAATCAAAAGAAGGACTTTCGGAGAAAATTCCAGCATGGGACGAGCTCTTCTATTCCGCAGATAAGAAAACGCGACTACAACGGTTAGAACTGCAGGACTTGGGTCCTCCACCAGTCACAGGGGCTGAAAGCAACAGTGCTGAAAAGAGTTTTGCGGAGCATCCTTCCGTGTTTCTCTGTCCCCAAGCCGCTGAGGATCATGAGGTGAGCAGCTTCTTTCGAAAATCCGCCACACGTGTTCCATTACTCGAAGGATTTGTCAATTTACTGGCATCCATGCGTCGCACATCGCATGTCCAAGCATCTAAAGCGCGCTTTTCAATGCCTCCACCGCCAATACGAGTGAAGCGTTGCGTAAAGGACTTGTTGGATCAGAGTCAAACAGCCCTTCGTCTCTTGCGTGCAGAGCAAATTCTGGGTGTCCGGGACGACCCGACGCGTCTACAGGCATTTCTGATTAAACACCCAAGAAAGTCGACAATACCTGCTGGTTTGGCGGTGCCCATGAGTTGCCGTGTTGGCGGTATGGAAGATGCACTAGGACCGTTGCCTCCATTGCGGTCGTCAGCGCTTTACAGGGGTGCGGAGCAGGCGGCTGCAAATGCATCCGTTGGGGTTGGAAAAGAAGAACAACCTTTTAAAGACGATATATCTGCCACGACAAGTGGGCAAGACTCATCAACAACGGCATCTCCTGCGCCTGTAGTAAATGATGGAGAAGCGATTCCCCAAGATGGAAGTGGAGCAGACGGCGCAGAGGAGCCGCAGTTGGCGGTCTTTCGTACCTATCGTGACTACATGCGATGGTACACAGAAAGCTCGAAACCGATTGGCGGTGGTGGTGCTGCGCGAGCGTTAATTGCTGACGCTGTCACTGCGCTGGCATGAATGCAGGCATGCGGTTTTCATATCATTGCTCATGGATGTTTTCATATTTCTCAAGAAACCTACAGAGACTTCAACTGCATCTGCTGCGTCGATTTTTATCAGCAAATAGTCGCACGCGCATAACAAATTGATGATATTTTCCCTTCATTTTTCCGAGTATTTGTTACACTTTTACCTGCATGATTCTCTAAAGCTACTGGTACTGCGCCTACCTGGAGGGGTTTATATCTGAGTGATCGACGATTAGGATATGAGCCTTACGCAGGAGTAAAACCACGACCGAAGCGAGGTGGACGTGGATGCAAGTCTTCTACAAAACTGGAAGTTGCAAAATGGAACGGAAAATATGAAAATGAGGTTTCCACCATAGGTTGCCACCACGCAAAGAGCCAAGAACGCAATACGAGGACGGACTATTTCTGCTAGTATCAGTAAGCAGTAAGGTGATTCTGAATATTCATTCGGATTATTGATTCCGAATCGGTAGACGGATATGGTACGTACTGCGACAATACTATAACCAACTTGTTCGTAGGTTACACGTCATGTGACTTCGGTTGGAAAAAGATCAAACCGCAAAAAGCGCGAGGATATCGGCCTGTGGGGACGATGATTTCGACGCCGTCGTCACAACTGCTTAAACTTTGATGCCAGAACTGGCTCTGCAAGTAGTACTTCAAATTTTACTTTTTTGAATCCCGACCATAAATGCCCTCCGCGACGCTTCTCACACGGACTGTGTCCACCTCTTGAAGAGGAAAATAGATTTAGCTTCAGCTAAGCACGACCGCTTTCGCGACGATAGAAAATTGGATCCAGCACATCATCGAAGACGAAGATCAGGGACTACCGTCGAACGCGATTGCGAGCGGCACTAGCGGTGCTGGCGCGGCAGTTTTCAAACTGGAGCGCTAGCTTTGCCTGCGTTTCTGTTTCTGAGGCTGGTGCGTTCAGGCCCTCGTCCAGATTGTCGAGGAGTCGTTCACGAGCGTCACTTCCGACAATGAAGAGCATATTTACATCGTCGCGAAGGCGCCAAGAGCGCCTCACGGAGCCGCAAACAGCACTACGCAAAGAGGAGCCACGTTCGAGTGCAGCAGCACCAAACAGCTATGCTGCAGGTCTCGGTGCGGCGCCAAGTCGAGCAGATAGTGGTGGGTATTTGTTGCGGTTTTGCGGGTCTACGTGATCTTCTAGAACTAGATCGAGAGCAGCTGAGTTGAAGTCGTAATACTAGGTAGTTCTCGAGGACGTCTGTGGTGAAATAAGTAGTGATAAATATGGAAATATCAGGACAAAAATTCCCATCACTTTGAAAGTTGCAAGAAGTGGCCAACATGAAAATGTTGCACGTTGTACAGAGTCCAGACGGCATTGAAGAGTTTGAAGGCACGACAGCTGGAGCGAGAAGCAGGCATCGGGAGAAGTAGCTCTAAGGAGCACAGACGACTCATCAATAGCATGGACTCCTATGCAGGGCAATCGTCGGCAGGTGCTTTTGATTCTCAATTTTTGGCTATCATCGCTGCGTTGTTGTTGTAACCGTTATTGTCAATGAATTTAAATTAGCTTTAGCCGTGTCTCTGTAGTTGATGTGCTGTACTACATTTCCAAAATCAATTAGTCGTAGTCCTCCTCCTGATGCAGATGGATCGCGTAGGTATCTATGCGTTTATTTTTCTATTTTCTGTTGCATCTTCTACCTAGTAGGCACCCGTCTCCCGGGAGGATCTTCCGCAGCAGCAGGCCTCACCACTGGCGGTTCATCCTCGAGCACCTCGCGACACCTCCTTCCAGGGAATAACCCGTCCTTGCCGCCAATGCCGGACAGGCTGGGCGGCGAAACAAGGTCCTCCTTACTTTACCACAACAACAACAACAATAACCCGATCGAGCAGAGGGAGCGAGAGCTCTTCGACGTGGCGCCACCGACGCGCCTATACAGCAGGGGAAACGAGACCAGCAAGCAGCTTTTAGACATTCTGCATGGTGGAGGTTCCTCAAAAGAACGGGCCGAACGACCTTCACAGTTGCAACAACCAAGTGTAGTGAATCCGTATAGCAGCAGCTCTCTAGCAGGCGCGGGCGGCGTTAGTAGTGGGAGTAGCAGTATATATCATGGTGGCACAACCGGCGCCGGAGGCGGGCGGACCGGAGCTGGTGGCAGTGCATCGAGCAGCAGGTCTTCGCTTGGTGGATCCAGAGGGGGCTCGGTAGACATAGGCATCGTCGATCCACGCCGCATAGTCGATCCACAGCGAGCTGCGAGAGACTCAACATCGGCTTTGTTACAGCAATATGTATGGCTGACACGCATCCTCGCGCTGTGTGAAGATCATGAGATTATTAAAATCATACCCATAGATACTTCTAGTTCTACTTATCCATTTCCTTCTGATGCTGTAGTTCTAGTCCTTATGTGGTGATTGAAATTTCGCTATGTCTATCAGAACTTTGTTTCTTCAGGAATAGCCAGTCGTCGTAGTTGTTATAGTAGCAATAATTTGTTAGGCTTAATTCCAGGAACAAGAGGAAGAGAGTTTCTGCTTTCATAAAGTACCAGTAGTGCATCCTCCTCCAGTTTAGGTGCAAGGTATGCGGATCTTGATCCAACCACGGATAGCACGCGGTCGTCCAGCAGTCGCGGAGGCGGCACCATGCTTGCAGCTTTATGTAGCCCTCAAGAAGAACAAGAAGTTGCTAAATAATTGATTATAGTCCTTGCGGTAATTACCACCGATCAGAAGTGAGTGTGATAGTCAGTGTTTGTCTTCTGAGTTGTCAGCTGGAGGCAGACACCTACTTACAAAAAGTATTCCTGCTCGCAATGGCATATGGAATTCTTGTAGAGTATCTAGTATTAGTATACAGAATATCTACCGCTAATTCAAGCTGGTTCTACTTCTACAAAGCGCAGTAGCGGTTCGAGGGGCGGGTCTCGAGACGTCGACCCCTGGGAAAACGGCTGGACCCGGAATGCGATAGGCCTGAGAAACCTTGGAAACACTTGCTTTTTAAATTCCAGCATCCAGTGCCTACTGTCGATTCCGCCACTGCAGGTTTTTTTTTAACTGCCTTGTGGCTTGTGCTATCTGGTATCTATGACTTTTCATTGTGAGTGAGTGAGTCATCTGCGTAAACCTATTCTTGCCTTCGTCCCACCATGATGTTTACAACATCTGTCTCAATGATCAGGATTTTTTCCGTTCTGCGTTTTCTGAGCGGGACCTAAACGAACGAAACGCGCCTTTGAAGGGAAAATTAGCGCGAGAGTTCCACGCTCTCTTAGACGAAGCTAGGCGAGCGCGTAGTGGCGCTGTATTATCCCCTGCGGGGCTTCGGCAACTGATCATCCGCTATGCTCCGCAATTCTCAGGATACTCACAACAGGACTCTCATGAAGTTTTACGCTTCCTTTTAGACGGACTACATGAGGACCTCAATCGCGTTCGCACAAAGCCGAAATATCAAGAGATGAAGGATATCAAAGGTACAATTAGTAATAAATAGAAATAGTATGTATAGAATATGTAAGATCATGATCAATCGCGAGCTGCAGATGCAGTCGAATTCTTCGTCGTAATCTCCTATAGAACGTCGTCGTCGTTCGTTGCTGATAGTGATATCTTCATCGTCATCTTCACGCATATTTGTAAGTATTGCTAAAGTCCTTATGTATAGGGTATGATTATTGTACATAAAGAACTACGTATTCTTGTTCAATTCGAATCCAATTTCAATTTCAAGTTCCCACCTACATACGAATCAATCATGATCTTTCAGGCGAGTCCGTAGATTCTGCGGCAGCACGATGGTGGGATTATAGTCAGAGTTGTGGAAATTCTGTGATAACCGACATTTTTGGTGGGCAGCTCATGAACGAGACATACTGCGGCGCATGTGGACATAAAAGTTGGACCTTCGACGTTTTCTTTTATGGCCGGACAATGATAATGATCATGATGGCTATTGTAAAGAATTTCGATTCTGATTCCGCATCCGATATATGAAAAATGTTTATAATCATGTGCAAGCAGGAAGCGGATGCTGCTCCTTTTGTAATATCGCATTTGCCTCGATCACAATTTTACATCCCAAAATCAAAATCAGCGTGAACGGAACTACATATTAAAGTATAATCACTACGACTACCACTACAAGAACTACAGCACCGATTTTTCTAATTCCCAGACCTATCGTTACCGATTGCGTCGACCCGTAGCTGTGACGTCGTCGATTGCTTCAGGCGGTTCACGGAGCGAGAACAATTGGACGTCAACGACTATAGGTGTGAAAACTGCAAGAATAGCAGGAAAATCAGCAAGCGGCTTTCAATGTATAATTCTTAGCAGGTTGTTGACATGTAGCAAATTATTCCGACTTGATGATCTAGTATTTGAATTTTGAGATTGATGCACTTACGTAGTTCTAGTTGTAACAAGTAATAACTATCTCCTCACCACAGGACCAGGAGGAGCTTCATCTTTGATCTGCCACCCATATTACTTACTCATACTCGAACATTAATATGCTTATGACATTGTAACTGGTCTTGTCGGTTCTGGTTGTACTTTTAGAAGTAGTACTTACTACAACAACACCCTCCATTGACAGTTACAAGCCACCCCGCGTCCTAGTCGTCCATCTGAAACGATTTTCGCATTCGCGTTTTTCCCGAGAGAAATTGAGCACGGTGGTTCACTTTCCGACCCGAGGTCTTGACCTGTCGGACGTCGTTGAAGGTCGCAGTGGCGTATACTACGACTTGGCCGCGGTCTCCCAGCACGCCGGATCCATGGGAGGGGGACACTACACTTTATGTAAACGGCAGACTACGGCTACCTCTACGGTATCTTTAGAGTACAGTTTGTCTGGAAAGGGACGACCCGACTCACAAACTTTTATCACATTTGAACTTTAAGAGGGTACAACTCGAACTCCAAGTCGAACTCGGGGTCACTCTGAGTTAGAGTCTCTTCCGGAAGATACATTTACATGTCCTCACCAAATTGTTAGTTTTCACCTCACCAAAGCTAGGCTTATCCCGTGCAACAATTTACATGTCCTCGTACAATACTGCTCTAAATACAGCAGCATGCAAACTCAGCGCGAGTGAGTGGGCCTGCTTCTCGGATTCCACGTCCTCGCCGACTTCCGACCGGCAGCTAGAAGACGCTTCGGCTTACGTGCTTTTCTACGTGCGCAAATGAAGTCGACATCGCGGTTTGCGTTGCATGACGAAAGATTCAGTGCGTGGAACATGGGCACAAGGATATATATTTTTTTGTAATGGAATAATCTTGAATAGGAGATCTAAATCTGTATGTTGAGTAACATTGCTCGCGAAAATCAGAACTACTTACACTGGTGCTGCAAGTCAAATGCAGATATCCGTCAAACTCAAAACTTGATAATCATATTATGCGCTTAATCCCAACCCTCACCCAAAGAACTGAAACCGAGGTTGATAGTACTTTTGTATAGATACTAAGAAAATGGGTAATGGAGTGAAAAGAACACAGGAAAGCAATGCGCACAAGATCTACATTCATTCTTTTAAACAGATATTACAGACAATTATATTGTTGAACAGAAAAGTAACAGTTTCTACTTTATTACTGTTACGTGTGGGTGCCACGATATTGATTTGGTATTTATGGTATTCCCAGTCCCCCCACTGCGATGTGCCATTATACGCGTTATTGATGATGAAGCCTGTACCTCAAATACTGCTAACCGTCAATCTCGATGATATGCTAGAAAAGAGTAGGAAAAGGTTGAATGAACAGACCGAGACCATGAAGAACAGATGGGATACCATTTCGAGTATAACATTATTTAGCAGGCAACTTGTCGCTACTTTCTTGCGCTATTTTTCTCTTAATAAATCAAAGACTTGTTCTTTTTTTTCATCATTGTTTGAAAGTTGTGCAGTCACTTAGCGAACGCGCTTAACGTTAACGGCGCGCCCACGCCATCGCCACTGAGTTCAAATTGTAGTTCTAGCTGAATGTCGCGAAGAGAGATGCCTCAGTCAAGTCTATTGTTCTAGTTCTTCGTAATGCTAATGCAGTCTCCATATCATAAGCATACCGTTGTATCTGTGTCAAGTCGACACAGAACCGCCACCCCGCTTCTGTGCATGATCATCCACACGAAAACGCCATTGTGCCCGTCATACTTTTTATCATCGACACATGTGTTTGTTCCTGTTTCTTCTTCACTTCGAGCGAACCCCTTGCCCTTCCCTCCTGTGTTTTTTCGGATAGTAGCATGCTGGCTCGCGCTGCGGTTCAGGTTTGTTGCCTCTAGGTGTAGCTTATCTCATTTCAAGCACTGTTGCTGTTCTCTCCGCTTGAAAGCTTTTTATCATCGACACTTCACTTTCACACAACCAAGGACGTACCATGAAGTGGCGCATGCTCGGCGTGCCCGATGTGTGACCCGAAAATTTTGAAACGAAAATTGTCTTGAGAGTCCACACTTCTTCTTAAAAAAGTGCGAAGGTAAGCGCGGCATATGATTCTCGAAAACGCAAAAACTGGCGGTGAAATCAGAAAACGCGTATAATGGCTTGCTCAGGGACACCAGAAACGAGACCACCTTCCTTAAGAGCTCTCAGAAATCCGCCTATCGCTTACTATTCATTTCTTTCACAGTAACCCCGGCTGCTTTTGCTGTAGTGCGCCCTAGGCCACAAGGGCCTGGAGACTCACGAAACTACCTGGTCATCGTTTTCACTGTAGGACTTTTTCCCATGATGTCGTTCCATCCGGCGCTTGTTCCGCATCCACGATGGAGGACCTTGTTCCGCATCCACCATGGAGTACCTTATACCTCGTTCCATCTGGGGGCTCTTGTTCCGCATCCACCATGGTCGCTCCATCTGGCTCTTGTTCCGCATCCACCATGGTCGTTCCGTCTGGCTCTTGTTCCGCATCCACCGTTGGTGCAACGGATCCGCTTGTGGCTGCTGCAACGGCCAACGTCGTGAAATCCACTACGGATGTTTCTTTGGGATCAGCACCTTCGTCTTTTCTTGCGTCCGAGTGCGGTACAGCAGCAACTCTAAACGACCCGTCGAAGACCATGTGCGCCGAGTTCCTTGTGGGAATCAAAAACGGCATCTGCGAAGGAACGGACAAGATCCTCGAAAACAATGCTGGGATCACAGCGGGTGTAGCCTTTGTTCGCGTTGCCTGCGATCGCTTTCATGTCACATCAATTACACTAGTTGTTGTAGTTGTCCTTCGCGCATAATTGGGTGCGAGGACCGATAATATGCAGCCCGGGGTAGTTGGGTTTGGCACAGGAGGAGAACAAGTAGTCTTAGGAGATCAAAATCGAGATAAAGAGAAGCCCGTAGTCGATCTCGAACGCCTATTGCGAAGCCGCAAGTTATCTTCCGTTAGTATAACGGTGAGTTCCGGTACGAGTTGGATTCGTGTATCAGCCGAGAACGAAATCCGTTTCACCACACCCGCAGATGCACTTGCCCCGGAGACGGCCGCTCCTTTAGCGAGTCAGCTTGAAGCGGCCAGCTCCGGGATGAAAACCGGCGCTGGCGGGTACGACTAGCAGCGTTTACAGCTACGGCCTTCCAGGGAGCCTTTGCGACGTCTTTCGCGGCAAGTGTGGTGACCAGTGTTACGCTGTCGGGAATGAGCGTCACGTCGGTCCAGGCAACCGAGACTCCGACTGTGAGAACGCTGACAGTCTGCATCCCACAGTCTGTCGTCACGGCAGCGGGTGCGGGGGGCGCTTCTTCAATTAAGACTTTCAAGTACAAGTAAGAGTAAGTGCTCGTCGAATAAAAATAAATCCATCTGCATTTCAAAATTTTGTTGTCTAAGGGTGGTTGGCTTAAGCTACTTCTCAGACATTATCATCTTCAGTCGCCGCATCTTCGTTTCGGGAGACTACAAACCAGAAAATGAAACTGTTGGAAATATCTATTGCAAGCGCTGGTGACGATGGTCATGGTGCTTCGGCAGCAGGCGCGGATGCGATTTTGATTGTCGTTGGTGCAATCGTGTTGTTCTTTTCTGTCATAGTCATTGGAGCTGCTCACATGAAAACTGGATTCTTGAACAAGTGGCTAGGCAGAGGCAGCGACGAAATAAGCCCACTGCAGCTCAGCCGAGTAAAGCAGAAGGAGAAAACCAAGGCGAACTGCCCGACCCTTCAGACAGAAGAAGGAGAATCGAATTCGGAGACCGCCTCTGTTGGTCAAGTGCGTGTGGAGGAACGTCCAGCAGGAGAAGGTAAAAATGTTCCAATCAAATCAAATTGCAAGTCGATATTGAAGATGAACAAGAGGACTTGATGAATGATGCCGAGGATGGAGCTGGAGGAGAACGACCATCCAAGCTAGCGCAAACGGGTACAACCTCGGGCATGAAAAAAGTCAAGCGTTCTCCAAGAGGCCTCCACGACGGCAAAGCCATCCAAGAAGACATCATTATCATAGATGAAAGCGTCTACTCGCAGGCACCAGTGTGCCGAGTTCACTAATGAACATAATCATAATTTAATACATACTGATGCATATTATTAGAGTTAGAGACAACCCTTCACCCACTCGGAGCTTTTTGTTGAGTTCATGTTTGTGAGCTCTACATCTACATCTTATCATCTTCATCATCAGCTTCAACTGGTTCAAGTACTTCTACTTACTTCACTAGCAGAAATTGAAGCGAAGAGAAAGACATCAGACGAGTAGGGTCTTTGCAGCTTCGCGACGTCAAGGTGAAGGTGGATGGGAGTGTCATCAAACTCATTATAGTTATCTGCGGAAGACGTAGACGATTGATGCAAGGACAGAAGCGAACCAAAATAAAGCATGGCCGCACTATGTCTTTGCTTAAGCTCAGTCGGGTCAACAGTTCTGACATTCGCATTTGAGGGATCGTCTGGCATATCTACTGGCTTTCGTCCCTATTTTTTTGAGGATCTTATCGTCTTTCTCCTTCAAGAATTGTTATTTAATCGATTATAAATTGATCAGAAGTCAGAACTCAGAAGAAAGAACATGTTGGGATTAACCGAGAGCCGTCCTTCTCGCGGGCAGCGTGATAAGCGGCTTGCGGCGGATAGGAACAAGATAACTCCGCAGGAACCTCTGCGGAGTCCGCGTGGTACTACCGGAAATCAACAACTTCGGAGTCCACGGGCTACAGTAGGCGAATATGGAGGTCAGCTCCGTAGTCCCCATGAGTCCGGGGGACAAATTCGGAGTTCCCGTGATCCCGGACATCAACTCCGTAGTCCGCGCGACCCTGGGCACCATCGCAGTCCCCGAGGAGATCTGCGCAGTCCACGCGACCGGGGAAGGCCTGCACTTGAACAGGGTGGGGAACCAAGGCGAAGTCCCCGCGCTAGTCCTCGTGGTCGTGGTGGGCTAGATTATCAATATTAGGGCTACAAAGGGGCTTCAGCTTCATCTTAGTCCTCACAATTTACTAATAGATACTACGAAGAATGAATAACAATTTAATGTATAATCAGAATACCTGAGCCTCCAATTCCGAAAGACACCTCTAACAATACGGGGATAGCGGTAGCCCAACTGGAGGTGCCGTTGTAGGGGCACCTGTCGCTGCTAGCTCGTCGTACCATAACACTGCTGCTGGAGGTGGTGGAGGGCAAAAAGGCTACGAGGAAACCCCTACAGTAACCTGCGGCTGCTATTGGAACGAAGAAGACCCGAGATCTTGCGTCTGCACGAAAGTTAAGTGAAGTTGGATGCTATGTTGGTCTTGGTTTCTCATTCTCTCCACAGGTGATTAAGATTGTTGCCTCAGCTTCGTAAGAAAGAACAAGAGCGAGATTTGGGATCTGGCTGTTGTTCCTGAGAAGAAAACGATTATTTTTTTAAATCGTGCCTGCTCCCTGCTCAACTTCCTGAGTACAACTAGGGTTTCGAGATCGTGAATTTCGCCCGTTTACAACGGGTTTAGATTACGATCACGAGCTCTTGCTCCAGCCCTATCTCTAACGAAGACGAATGTGGTAGACCAGGATGTGCGCCGAACCTCGGAACGCCTACTGGAAAATTGATAGGCGCAATGATGTGGGGAGCTCCTGTTTTTATGGTGTGGTCACAGATTGAGAAAGCAGGAAAGGGGGCACCATTGCTAATGGTCGTCGTAATAGCTATATGTAACAATTCAACAGAGGATGAACATGAAAAACAAAAGGAATAAGCTTTGAAGCGCACAAGAAAGACCGAAATACCGCCCTTTCCAAACTCTCAATCAGTAGAACCATTCAGAACTCGCGCCATTATCATAAACCTGTCGATGAGGGGTGGCGGAGAGGAAAAAGAAGTAGAAGAGAGGGAGGGACGCGGGCTATTGCAGCTGGGGATAAGAATGCTTTTGGGATAAAATGCCACCTGACTGCTCTGAGCACTTTTGCAGGTGCAGCGTAAAAGGAAAGTTATACGCAAAACAAGAAGTGACATTTTTGCAGTATGGTAATAGAACAAGTGGCTGTGGCGCAGCAGTGTGCCGTGGACCAAATCAATGGTGTATCTTATCACGACGGCCCACTACACATCCTTTGATTTAGTATTATGCCACATTTTGGTATCCCTATCCGCATCCTCCGCAAGTGCTTCTGGAGCCCTGTTATTTTTTAGCATGCTATCAATGAGAGTCGCAAGTCCGCGAGACATTCATTGTGCCTTGATTTCGGGAGCCAGCGCGCTTATGAAGTTTGAGGTAGTGCAACAACGTTTTTTTCTCTTTGAATCGTCGTGCACTGGTTGCTTTACACGCAAAGAAACATGGGACGAAGCAAGCTACTCACAAAGCCTGAAGCCGCAGCAAGTGGAAGTACGAACCCTCTGCAAGATTCACCGTGGTGCAAAATCATTGAAGGCTGAGAAATCGTAATCGGGATGAAAGAGCAGCGTCCAAACAAGCGGTTTCTACAGCGAAAACGGAGTTTTTTCTTTTTTCATCCCTCTTCGCACTTCACCTAAGTATTGTTTCAATGAAGTTGATGAACTACCACTTATAAGTTGTAGTTGTCTTCTTGTCATCTAGGCTCCCTCCTGCTCGCGACATCACTCCGGTAACGTTATTTTTCTACACCAAGCTAAAGCTACAAACTCGCTTCGCCAAGGCTGATCACAAGAATGATTCGTGTGCACGACTTCCGCGAGGAGTCGTCGACAGGGGCTGCACAAGTTGAGTACAAGGTTGTCCTTAAGAGAGGGAGTTTCTCTTGGGCAGTCCGCAGACGGTATGTCGATTTTCAGGAGGCCTGGCAGCAGTTGGAGGATCCGATAGCGAAAATACAGAGAGGTGAGCCACTAACACAGATGGATGAGAAAAGAAATGCGACAGGAGGGCTTACGAGCAAAATTTCCGCCCGGCGCAGTACTGTTGCAAGCTCTTTGCGAGGACGACTTCCAGGGAAAGCTTTATTGCTGTCGGCGCCAAAGCAGCAGTGCTTGTCCGACGTACAAGACAACGCGATTGAAGAGAGTGCTTCTGGTGCGTTGAAAGAGAGGAAATCCAGCAAAAATTCCAGTGTTGCGGACGACGATGACACCAGTGTCGAAGAAAAAGCTGGCAGTGCCACTGCATCAGGTTTAGCCGTTCGTACGACTGCTTGCGCCGACGGGCAAGCAGGTGGAGATGAAGACGGAACAACTCAAAAGAGTAGGAGTACTAAGAAAGCCTCGAAAAAAAAGGCAAAATCGTCGTCCAAAACGTCGGCATCAGGCAGTAGTGCTCCTGCGTCTTCTGCCTCATCTTCATCTTCAGCCAGCCGCCTTGGTGAGGCCATCGGAAGTAGACTCCGCGGACGTAGCCAGACCAGTCGAACGGTAACATCATCTTCATCGCGCGTAGCAAGAGACGGACTTCCTCCCCGGACACGGAGCAAGGACGGATCATCGTCAAAGGAGTCAACTGTAGGTGACAAAAGTAGAAGTGCGGCAGACGTCATAAGCGCGGTTGCAGCGTCAAGGGAACAAGTCGTGGACACACGAGATGGGGTCGAAGGGGAAGGTAGAAAGATAGGGAGTGCGAGCAAGTCGTCCGCAAAGGAGGCTTATCTTCCCGTAGGCGATCTATTGACCTTGTCTGGCTTTACCGCGTCGGACAAATCGACAGATTCAGCATCTGAAGACGCTGACCCTGGCAGAAGCAAGAAAAATGAAGACGCAAAAAATGCGAGTGAAGAGAAGACGAAACAGATTGCTGTAGTTCCAGCATTTCCCGGTCGTGAGACCTGGTGGCAGCGGCTCACAAGTGGGCGCGAGGGGCGCGCTCACTTCTACAACGAACGAATGCTTGGGCTGCGTGGGATTTCGGAATTCCTCCTCGCTGACCCGGAGCTGGTACAATTGCGACCTGTCCGCCTTCTCTTTCAGGTGGGAGATTTTCCGCAGCCTGCTCCGCCTGAAAGCGTCCGCGTTAGGCCCGCACTGCGAGAGAACGACAGCACGTCGCACCAGAATGGAGGGCCGATTCCATCTTCCGGTTCTTCAATGAAAGCAACAAAAGGCACCACTGGAGGAAGTCACTTGGCGATCCGCGTTGAGTTGGATACGAGCGAAGAGGCTACCCAAAGCGCAGGACAGCCGGACTTTGTTGTGATCGAAGCGACGCCGATGCCTGTGGCGACTACACTAGCAGCAGTTGTAGATGTCGAAAAGGACGAGACCGACGTTCTTGCAGAACAAACTTCGTCAAGTTCAAGCTCTAATATGTCAACTGTCCTGCTTCACATTGAAATACCGTATGCTGCTTCTCCGTCGAGACGGCCCCGCAGCTCGTTTGGGCCACCGCCAAGGCAAGTATCTGGAGACTTGGCTTCAGAAGACCACGATCAAGCTGCTCATATTGTAGCGTCAGACCCTTCGGCAGCGTCTGTGTTTCGCGAAGAACCACGGGACTCTTGCGTGTACGCTTTTCTTCCGCTCACAGAGGGCACGATGTACAGGATCTCGGTCCTGACGGAAGTGCGCATACTGCGACTCCGATCGGCAGGTATCGTGGTCACGGCCTTCGTGCCAGAGAGTGACAGCCTCACTCAGAATGTAGACGACGATGGTTCATCTCTTGGCCTCCAGTCGGCATATCCGAGTCCAAATTCCGATGTGCCAATTGGTGGCGCCTTATCTGCTTCGGACTCGAACATTCCGAAAAACGTCCGAAATGGTGCTAATGACGGTGCATCTTCCTCGTCAGGAGGTGGAGGTGAGAAAAAATCCTTCTCATGGTCATCAAGAGATCAATGTAGAGGAAGTAGGCATTCAGACGACCAAGTACATGGAGAGCAGAGCTCCAATCATTCCTGTGACTCGTCGCACAATCGAGACGATTCATGCGCCAGTGCTCGCGGACGCCGTGCGGAGTCGGCCTCTCGCCGTATACCTCGAAAGTCGGAGATGGAGCGTGTGCGGCATCGCGGTAGTGTTGCACGCGACTACGTACGTGGTGTAGAAGCAGAGAAGGCGAAAGCGGTCGAGAAAAACCCCTATCGCTTTACTAGTGACGGCGACTTCGTTCAGGTTGGCGAAGATAGTTGTACAGTGGGCAGTATGTCAGCGTCAGATGCGGCCACTCCGCGTGGAGGCGGGAGGACAGCCTCAAGGCCACCTCCTCTCCAGAACGCATCAATAAAACAAGTAGGTGCGCAGATACGCAGCGGATCGAGAAGTGCTCTTGATGAAGATAGTACAACGGTTAGAGGAGCAGCAGCAATAGCAAAAATGACAGGATCAGGAGTTCCTAGACCACCTGGACTGCCACCAAAGCCTCCTCCTTCTGCCGTTTCCAGTCAGCGAAAGCATGGGGCAAGTGCTGACAATGACGATGAGGAATCCACAATAGCTTCGTCTAGAGGCGAGAATGCTCATTGCGGTGGCGGAACCACTACTGCTTCATCTTCTAAGAGCCATGAAGGGGTTGTTGAACACTCCGGGATTCAAGAAGAGCATGCAACTGGTTCACCTTGTTCGACCCAGACGGCAGACGTCGACACAGTCAGAAATCGTGAGACAATGCGGAAACAAGCGGCGGATCTTGAGCTTGTTGCATCGTGGATCTGGCAACGCACTAAAAACCAGTTCTATGCCCGAAGCACTAGCAGGTCGGAAAAGGGAAAGAGGCCGCTGCACCTCGTCGAAGCTCTGCTTCGCGGAAGCGATGCTTTGCTTGACCTTCTCGACGTTCTTGACACAACGCAAAAGAAGCATAAGCCGCCACACCGCTTCGATCAGAAGATGATTGCCGGCATTTCCCTCAGCTTTGAAGGTCATGCGCGCATCAAACACCAAGTTTTGGAGAACATGGGTCTCTTTCTGCAGCGCTGTTCCGAACCGCCTTTCGGGCTCAAAAAGCAGGAGCATTTCACCCCTCTCGATGTCTTGCGATGTCAGGCAGATTTGATTCGCTGCATGTCTCCGAAGGCTGCAACCCAAGACACCGAAGATAGCGGTCCACGACTTTTGGAATACGATCTGGGCCTTGAAACTGTATGTTGTGCTTCATGTAAGTAGAAGACACGTCAAATTATGCGCAGTTCCTAGTTCTCGTGTTCAACCTCACCCGCCTCTAGTAGAGGGACGTGTCAGTCTAATTTTTATGTTGTGATGTACCTGACTTGAAGCCCGTGTCAAGATTGCTTGTCCCAGCTACGCCTCTTTCATTCTCTCGGATGCGTGCGATCCTGAGATGCTTTATCGCGTTGTCAAGGAGGACCGATGGTGAACTCGTTTTGCAGACACGAGAGTACTCCTATGCGGATCTGGAGGAACGTCAGAGAAGCTCTAGCTCTATCAGCAGGCCGGGCAACGACTGAGGGTTCCTCGCCGGTGACGTTATAGTTAAATGCACGCAGGCGCAGCGTGCAAATCATTCCGATTAGATTCGGTAATGTTTGCCTTCTTTCAACAAGTCCTTCAAATAGAAATTTTCACTCCACAGTCTTGTCATGTTGTTCCTTTTCATAGTCCTGGTCATGAGCAATGCACCTTTCATGGTGTTCTGTGACTTTGAGTGACTTGCTGAAGTTCTTCTACTGCTTGAAGATTCGATTGAACAACTGGAAAGGGTCAACGCCAGCCCAAGGCGTGGACGGGAAGGGACACGATGAAAATCAGTCTCCGAGAAGAAGAAGTTGTTTCGCATCATGAGTGTTCTTTTTTTTGAATTGGAATTGGAACACCGGGAACGACAATGAACAGGACTTGTCAGAAACGCAGAGGCAAAATCGGACTACAGGTACATCTCTCTGCGTAATTTCTACCGAATCCAATAGATGCAAGTGGCGAATGTGAATTTTTTTGTCATGTTGTGTTATAGTTATTCGCCAGTGCTGCACTATCTTCAAACGTCAAACGACTCTCTTCTTGACTTTTTTTACTCGCTGATCGAGAGATCATGGACCGCCATCGAAGCAGTGGAAAACAGATGCCGAACACCAGATTTCGTTTTCTTTACAGTAATCAGGACGAAGAGCACGACTTTCTCTGATGGTTATATATAGATATGCTTTGAGAATACGAGAGACCGAGCATCAAGTTAGTTTTTTTTTTTATTGTGAATCTGATGAAGCAGGCACAAGAGGAGAGAGGCATCCGGGAACGATACACCGGTTTTGCATAAGTAGATGTTGTTCCTGGATAATGGATGCCTTGATGCTCATTGAAGCACCGGCTTGTATGATCACATCACAATATGGGACTTGCGCTTGCCTCGCTGATTCATCATGTCTTCCAATTTCCTTCTCCGGCTCTTTCCATAGGGATCATATTCTTCGAGAACTTGAGAGTTGATTTTTGAATCAATCACAAGTGATCACAGTCGTCCTCACTTTTTAGCAACAACTGCTACAAACACCTCTACCGTATTTCTTGACATCGAAGAAATCAGAAGCACAAAGATGCCGAAGCTTAGCCAAGAAGTATGCAAGGAGTTGGTTGCCACCGCCAACAAAATCTGTACCCCGGGTAAGGGCATTCTCGCCGCAGATGAATCAACCGGAACAATTGCAAAGCGATTTGACTCCTGCAAAATTGAAAACACCGAAGCCAACCGTTCTTTCTACCGAGGCCTCATGTTCGAGACGGAAGGTGAAAAATCTTAGATAGCAGGACTAAGTCTTGTATACTCACTTCAATTCTTGAGTTAGAGCTTGTTGAGGATGAAGACATTGATGTGCGGTATTATGTCAAACGAAAATAAAAGTAAAATTATAAGAGAACACAGCAAAACCGGAACCCCAACAAGGCGAACTTTGCTACCCTACAAAGCAAGTTACCCTACTCTCTCAACATCTTTCATCTTTCACTTCTATCTTGTTCATCTCAGGTCTCGGAAACTACATTTCCGGTGTTATTCTTTACGAAGAGACTCTGTACCAAAAGGACCCGTCTGGAGTGCCAATGACCGATCTCTTGAAAAAGCAGGACATTATTCCTGGTATAACACTTTGATTATGGCCTACTACTTTGAAGATGTGCACGTGGAGTTTCTTAATGTCTATTTTGAGTCATGCTTAAGCTCACCAGTACTTGTACTATTGTGTCTACGTTCAATTTATGCGGTGGTGGTCTACTTCCACATCAATATAACGGATACCAGTTTCCCGACCGCTCGCTGTATTAACATATCTTTTTATGGATATCATATCGACTTCGTTATACCCCTGTTTTGTTGCAAACAGGTATCAAGGTCGACAAAGGTCTTGTCGATTTGATGGGAACTGAGGGAGAAAAGTCCACCCAGGGTCTTGATGGTTTAGCTAAGCGATGCCAGGACTATTACAATGCTGGCGCACGTTTTGCAAAGTGGCGTGCGGTTCTTAGTATCGATGCGGCAACAGGTATTGCCTCGTGATTCACTTGTTGGAGCTAATGTACTATGACTATCTAAGAGTTTCTTCTTGTATTTGTAAATTATGATGAAGTGCTCGAAAAGAAACTTGAGGTTAAATCGAAAAACGACTGAACAACAACATGGACCATTTGAAATTTATTGAGTAAACAATTCAAACGCCTGTTCTTCTTCATCTCCAATTTATTGCTAGCTATCCGATTCCCAATCCTCACTTCCAGGCAAGCCATCTGATCTGTCTGTCTTGGAGACTGCTCATACGCTCGCACGATATGCAAGCATTTGCCAGGAAAATAAGATTGTCCCGATCGTCGAGCCAGAAATTCTTCAGGACGGCGCTCACAGCATTGAGGTCGCTGCGGCTGTCACAGAGAAGGTATTTTTTAAGGTTTACGCGTTTGTACTCGACTAAGTCTTTCATTATGACAAGGAAATATAAATAAGAAGAAGGTTCTTGTCCATCTCCATTCTCGAAAATAACATCTCCAATCACAACACCTTTTGTTTCTTTCATTTTCTCAGCAACATGAACGTAGACTGACATACGGACACGATGAAGAAGAAACACATAATTCGATTTTTATTGTTTTCCCAGGTCCTCGCTGCGGTCTTCAAGGCCTTAGCAGATCATAAGGTCCTTCTCGAGGGATGCTTGTTGAAGCCGAATATGGTGACCCCAGGAAGCGAAAACCCCAACTGGAGCACTCCTGAAATCGCGTACATGACTGTCCGAACTTTGCAGCGCACAGTTCCTCCGGCGCTTGTTGTTAAGAACTACAAAGAGATGAAAGACAAAGATCTTCCATGCTTGTTGTTATTCGTATGCAGATGAGTAAGAGTAGCACTAGTTACAGTTAGTCATCATGCAGTCTTGGCATGGTGTTACTAAATGATTCGTTATCGTTTTTGTGCTAGGTAGATATGGCTGATTTTCTCATTGAGAAACGGAAACGGTGCGATAAGTATTGCCACCTACCACTGGTGCCTCATAGTTATAAACTAACTACGTAAAATGTACAGGGAACAAGCAAAGAACCTCTTCTAATACGAGCGTGGTATTCCTGTCAGGAGGACAGAGTGAGGAGGACGCAAGTTTGAACTTGAACGCAATGAATGCGATGACGGAGATGCGCAAGCCGTGGGCACTTACGTTCTCCTATGGACGGGCTCTCCAGGCCACCTGCATCAAGACGTGGTGTGGTACTGATTACTGAAAAAGAGTCTTGGTCTTTATTCCGATGGTAGCTTCTGATTCTGTTACACGTTATACCATTTGGTCTAGAAGGTACGCAATTACTTTGACGGCAAAAAAGTTTCTTAGTACCAGAAGTTGCTCTGAAAATGGAATATGAAACGATCTTTTGCGAAACTCGTTGTACTTGTAGCTGACTTTGGCCAGCCTTGTTTGTAGTAAGCATTTAACAACGTGAGCGTGTATGTGCTAGTGATAATGGATACGGCCGCGTTGTAAAGCTTACGGTTACAACGCATCTACCTCTCAAAATGTCACAGGCAAACCCGAGAACAAAGCAGCGGCGCAGGCTGCGCTTATGGTTCGGGCGAAGGCTAACGGTGAGGCGCAGCTCGGGAAATATGCCGGATCAACTGACGGCGCTGGCAAGGAGTCTCTCTTCGTAAAGGGATACGTATACTAAACAGCGACGTCATCTTCTTCACTAGGTAGTGGAAGGGTCAGCATGCCGCTAAAGAAAATAGCGGTGGCATAGCGCTGGCGCAATACGAATACAACTCATGAAACTGAAAGCGAGTTCAAGTAGTCCAAGTTGGTCACAGCCACATGATCTAGGATATTCTATTCATGATCAGGAGGTGTTACTTTTTACGTTTTTACACTACCTAGAATGTTGAACAAAACAAAAACATATACATAGCAAAACTTCATGGAGCACATGATTATTTTCCTGATATTAGCGTGTCGCTGCTGGTGCTGTGTCACTGACACTGCTCTCACGACGGCACGCCCCGAAGACAGCGCACCGACTTTCACTGGTGGCGCAAGTGACGAGTCGTCGTTGTCTTTCGGTTATCACCTTCAGTTTTTTGTCAGACTACTGTGTGTCACAAGAAGACCCAGAAGGAGAACAAATACAGTCCATCTTTTTCATTAACGCATAGAAATTAGCATACATGACCACAATATGAACACTGTCTTTGAAAGTCGTAGACTCAGCGAGAGCGAGGATCGTCCAATCATAGAAATTTGTTAAAATTGTTAAGAACTCTGAGGATTTTTACGATGATCGATGAACAATGGTTGAGCATCAATACAATAACGAGATGATAAATAGCAATGCATAGGCGTGGTCTTGGTCATTCTCATGTTCTCCACCTAATCTCTTGCATCTTCCTAATTCAACGGCGACTTTTCGCGCAGTGCTTTCCGTGATGAAGCATTGTTTTGCTCTCCGCTGTGCAACGGTGACTCGCTTTTGATATGCCTTTCCTTGATTATCCGAAACACCAGTATTTGACACTTGTCAAAACCGTATTTCTTCGAATGCTCCGACGACGAGGAAACTCCATATCACAAACTCGATGGTAGCTTGGTCGGAAGACGGAGCTGCGCTTGAAGCACTCTCTTTGGCAGGTGAACAAGCATTGGCTAAAAGCAAACAGTCGTGCGCGCTGGAGTAGAAGATGTTGAAATTGAATCGAAAAACGGAGAGAAGAGTGTCCTCGCCGGGGCGAGACACCTGACGAGTCGCAAAGATGGACATTCCGATTCAGTGAGTTAGAAGGAGTGGTGTTGAGGGAAACCCGACGAGATAGAAAGAGCCCTAATGACGAGAGCAATCCGAATCGTGGTCATAAGTATCTAGCAAGGTTTTTAAAATAGATATGTCGTAGGTCCAATCCGAATCGACTAACATCATCATCATGTGGCGGATTTTTGGCGATTCTGTAAAAAATTCCAGACGGACGAAAAACAAACAAGTTTTTGCGGTGAGATTGAGTGGTTCTAAGTTTGGTCTTGGCGTTTCTTTCTTCGTCGGTATGACAGTTAATGGTACGTAAATTAGTCTGTGCAGGTAGGTTTTGAGAGGTGACCCGTGTTCTGTAAATCTCCGATTGTGAGCGACGACTGATCAGAATAGCGCCATAAACCCCTAACGAGTAAGATCATGAGAGACCTGTTTACTAGTGGCACTTAGTCATGTGTACCTGCTCAGTTCTGAATTGTTAATGTGAATTGTTCCAAAATCTATAAAAGGAAGTTCTCAGCAACCTAGCTAGCGCAAGCTTGTGAAGACGTATGTGGTGGGCGTAGACCAGGTACCGGTCGGAAATCTGAATCCCCATGATCAAAAATTGATCCTACCCTTGAGTCTGAACAACATGCGATCTTTCTAAATCAACGATCTGGAGATCAAGAGTTTAAGAACCGACCTTCACTGCAGTCGATGCATGAAAGAGATACAGATTCTTGTGAGACGTGAAATCATCAATGATCGAATATATTCTTCAACTCGTGCGTCTCTATCATGATCTTCTTTATTCCAATCGAACCACAACACCAGGCTTGATGAATTTAACGACGCGCAAAAAATCCTAATTTAAATCTTCACGTTCACAACGACCAGAATGATAATTATTGATCACGCTCAATTTTTTTGTTTGAGAGAATGTAAAGATTTTGGTATTCTTCGGTCCAAATCATTATTGATCACGCTCAAGAAATTGTTTTTGACTTCAATATTCGAGTGACACTAGTAGTATAGCTTTGCTATAATACCGATTGAGATCAAGAACGTAGAATGTTCCGTCATCAAGAAGAAATCACTTAAAAATGAAAGACTCCACCTCGTACACTACTACTTTTTTGTCCAACTCCAAATACTTTGACCAACTTCTACGCGAATGTTATGTGTCCTAAGAATATGGGTCAAGTAGCATTAGTATCTCTAGAATCGTAGAGGCGAGCGGCCGATTCTTGATGTAGCATGAATGTTATTCTTCTGGGAAGTCGTTGCTGGTGTCCATCTGATTTACACTAGTGAAAGACTAAGAACCTCCGACGACTAGTATTTGTCGTTGTGCGGTGATTGACTGAGTCGCCTGATATCTGCATTATTTCCGTCTGTGCTTCTGATTTGAATGTTGGAAATGAAAGAGTTTAGCCTGCTTCCGTTTCAAATTTAGAAGACATTGCAAATGCAAGTACATAGGACGATAGTGTCTCCTGTAAAGAGATTAGCAATAGCATTTGCTTTTGTCTTCTAAAAATATTTTCTTGTGTTATCTTCGCTTCTAAAACTAAAATTCATTATAGTTTTAGTCCGAAGGATAACTAAGTCTAAGTAGAACAAGTACCTAGGCATTTGGTCGTGACCACCGACAGTGATACTCATCGCTTGAGTAGTTGTCACCTTCTACCTCAACGAAATCGTGAGATAAATATAACACAAACTCCCCTAATTGTAATGTGTTATTTCTCTTGAAGAAAAGATGACTGACAAGGCCAAAGCTGCTGCGGCTTCTCCCGCAGACCCAGGTGCGAGCGATGGTGAAGATGCTAAAGCAGCTTCATCAGCTAGTGCAGTGGCATCCACCGGTTCTTCGCAGGAGAAAACAGCTGCCGGCAGTGGCACCACGATATCATCCTCTTCGACAACGTTGATGACGCTGGAGGTCGTGCAATCGTCGCAGGCGAGCAAACGCCAACAAAATAGCGATGGTGAAAAACATTTCGCAGCTACTTCGATTTCGAAATCGTCAGAAAGTCAAAATGTCCCTCGCGTTCCGGGTGCATCGCCAAGGTCAACTGGATCCACTTCAGCGAGCAAAACGGCCGCTGGTACCAGGAAGAAGCTGGCGTCCTCTGGCGCAACGAGCAACCCTCCGACATCCGCACAGATGAAAGTGAAGCAAGAGGTGGAAGCTGCTTGGGCAAGAAAAGTTGCCGCGGAGCAGCTCCACGCCACGACCCCTTCTTCTTTGTCTGAGTCTGGTGTACCTCTAAAACAAGAGGGAGCTACTATTCCTGGAAGCTCAGCGCCTGGGTCAGCAGCAACAGCACCGAGTTCGTCAGCCTCAAACATTCATTCGAAAGTGGATAAAGACGCAGTCCTTGAATTTCCTCTTGACAAGACACTGTCCGCCGCTTCACCTCTGGGCAGCGCACGTGCACCTGGTGCGCTCACGCCATCTCCGAGTCTGAAGATCAATAGCAAAGATGATTCTACACCACCAGGAGGAACTACTCCAGGTGGGCGAAGTGCCTCCAAGTGCAGCTCTGCGGGACCCGTGCGTTACACCTACGACGTCTCGAAGATGTACCAAGCATTGGGCATTTTGAGCACGGATTCTTTCCTCTTGGCGCTGGAAAACGGCGATGGCGCTGGAACTTCCACAGCTGCTGGCGGAAACCGCTTTGCAGCCGGCAGCACCACAACAGGAGGCTCAACTATGTCCCAGCGCAGCGGTGGAAGTGGTGCCACTCCGCGAAAGCAGTCGCAGAAAGAAGCCTTCAGGGAGCGCTTCGCGCAGATGCTGCAGGATTACCGTGACAACCTGAGCAAAGAGCTCTTCAGGCTGGACTTGTGCCAGCACGACCTCGACAAAATGACCTTCAACGACTGGAAGGCGTTTCTGGAGCAGCACAAAGAAGCTGTTGTGATGGGCGACGATGGGCAGCATCGACTCGTACATAGCGACGAGAGTGAACAACTTCTGAGTAGCAATAATGACAATATCAAATCAACAACTTCTGCGCCCGTGGGTGAGAATGCCAAGGCAGCTGGATCTCCTGCTTCGGATGCTGGGGATTCGTCAAAGGGCAGTAGTGTGGTAAACGGTGGCAGCCAGACATCCGCGAATGGCGCCGCCAGAAGGTTATCTCCGCCGGCTCGGGGAACAACTGCCTCTTCTTCTAGCGTTGATGGAGCGTTGCCTTCGCATCTGGCAACGACCCCGACGACAACGACCACTAACAGTAGTGTGCTGTGGCATACCGGTAACGGAGTGCTGATGGCAGGGGCAACGAGTCCGGCTGCGCGTGGACAGCTTCTGCCTCCGAGTGCGCGCGTCACCAAGCCGCTTGGCGGAAGCACCTCTTACCCAGGCTCAGCAATGGGAACTCCGTCATTCAGCTTACCAACAAACTCGCCGCGTGCGTTCAACTATCCAGCTTCCAACGCCATGAGCCCGATCAAGTCGCCGCCGCGTGCACCAGAGTACATCAAGAAAAACAAGATTATCTTGTCTTCCGGACCCTCAACGCCTACCCAACAAGACGCGCAGGAGCTCACATCTCAGAGAGAATACGACGCCGCGGCCAGGCAACTTGAAGCACTGCAGATAGGAAAGGGTGGTGCAGAGGCGGTTGCGATTCCGCACAAGACACCTGTGGCACTAGCTGCGGGAGGAGCTGCCTCCGTGTTTCCAGGAATGCCTGTTTCTCCCTACGGAGCGGCCTATCCACCAGGTGCAGCACCACCTGGAGCTGGCGCCGTCGACCCGGCGTACCAAATGTACCACATGCACTTGGCTCAGATGGCGGTAGTTGCCGGGTATCCTCCACCGCCAGTCGCGCCTCATGGAGCGTTCCCGCATCCGCTGACTTCTCCGGATGGCACACCCCTTCAGGCGCTCGGCTACCCGGCTCCCCCGCCAGGCTTCGGCACAGTTCCGGGTGCCCCAATGTTACCGGACGCGCAACTGCAGGCCTCGTATCAGCAATACTATCAGGCGCAGATGGCAGCGATGCAGGCGCAGCAAAACCAGCTGGCGATCGCAGCCGCGGCAAAGGGCGCGGCTTCGCCGCGCACTCCCGGCGCTGCCAAAGGAGGCGTCGCTGATTTCAATGATTATGGAGGCGGGCGCACACCGGCAGGACGCTCGGAAAGTGGAGCGAACTCCTTATCTGCTGGTATGTCACCGACGGCGCCTCCCATGTCGGCTGAGGATACATTTCTCATGATGCGAGACCAGCCGATGAGTCTGAGCCCACAGTTGAAGGCGATTTTAAATGCGCCAAATGTGGAGACAGAGTTTTTCGATGATACGAATCTTTATGTGGATGCGACGGGCACAGCGCCACTCAATATGAGTACTACTCAACAGATGCAATTGCACTATCAAGAGCAGGCTACTGGCGCAGTCGCCGCACCAGCAAGCAAAGGCTTACTGAGTTATCACGGAGGCAATCCTACGCACCTAGGTGACGTCGTGGGCGAGTTCACGCCAGCGCGCAGCACTAGCAAAGGATCGAAAAATATAAAAGGTGGAGCTGGAGGAAAAGCAGCTGCTGCTCATGGCGCAGTGCAGCGCGGAGGCGGCATCTCCACTCCAACAACGCTACACAAAGCGAAAGCCCCGCTCTCTAAGGCGGATTCACAGGATCCCTCTTCCCTGGTTTCACTGCAGCCGGAACCGCAGAAACTGGCTAGCAAGCGCGTAATAGAGCTTGAGCCGCAATCGATGCAGTCACAGTCGCCACGCGGAACTGACCCGCTGCCTCCAGGGTTAGAAGATCAACAAGCACTGCCACTGCTGCAGGACGGAACTGGCGCGGCTCCTTCTTCTACCACGCTCAGAAGCCGCGCGCCGGAAACTCGATTCGATTACTCCTTGTCCGAGACGAAGAGGAGCCATAAAAAGGATGAGCTTCCGATGAGTGAAAGCACAGCAGAAAAAATCAAGAAAATTAAGGAGCTAAGTCTAGCTAGCGGCACTAGCGCTCCCCAATCAACGTCCCCCATAACCGAGCACAAGACCCCCTCAAGTGTTCCTACTAGTGGGAAGAGAAAGCTGCGACAGCAGGCTGCAAAGTTTGCATCAAGCGGAGCAGCTGCGGTAGGAGTCCCTCCAGCTTCCCAGACTGAGATTCCTCTGACCATTGGTGGAACCGCGCAGGTGCTGTTAGCACCCGGAATGGTGTATCCAAGTGGCACCGTTGTAGCCTCATCGGCGGCTCAGGTTGTGCCGCGACCTCGCGATACTGCCGGGGGATACGCACAGCCATCTTCCGTAATAAACTCGGGGGGGCCAGCTCTGCCATATCAAGGGCTGGCCACTGTGCCTGGCTTCAGCGAAGAGCATCTGCTCGGGTCTCGCGCATATAATGATCCATACCTGCAAATGTACCCCCAGACGCCTGGAGCAGGCGCGGAAGCGCAACCCAGCACTCCATATAATCTTCCGTCGGGCACCATCACAGCTTCCGCGGCAGCCGCACGGCGGAAAGCAGGAACCAATACTACGTCCTCCAGCAGTAGCAATGTTGTGGCCCACATGCAGATGCAGCACTTGAACAGCCAGTCGGGAAGCCTCTTGTACGGAGCCCATGGCTTCCCTGGTGGCAACAGTTTCTTGTTGCCGGCCTCCACCTCTACGCTGGGCGGAGGCAATACTAGTGGAGAAAATACAACCGGCACAGGCAATACTACCACAGGATCCCCTCTCTCGATTTCCGGTTCCGGCAGCGGTCATCCAGTGCGGCGTCGCGGTGGACGCGCCGGGCGTCGGCAGCAGAAGAAGCGCGCCATGCAGGCACTGGAAGAAGAGTATCAGCGTCTGCTGAACGATCACGATCCCGCGGTTGCGGCGCAGCTGCTGCAACAGCTGCCGCTTGCCCGAGCCGTGGGAGCAGTGGCCCTGCCCGGCCCCGGAGGCGGCGCCGTTATGTGCCTCAGCCAACTGCCTGCGGACCAGCAAAGACACCTTCCGACTGGTGAGGTGATTGTACCCAACTATTTCTACAACTACGAGGATTTGAGTCAGCTGCAGCAGCTGCCGCTGGGAGCAACTCCCAGCGCAGCTTCCTCGACCGCCGGAGGCGAAGGTGATCGCATTCAGCTTGTTGGCGCTGGCGAAGAACTGCTGACAACCAAAGCGCACAAGGGATCGAAGAGAATTGCAGGAGGCTCGCCAGAGATAGATGAAGATCCAGGCCTGGTGCTACCCGCGTGTCTGCTGGAAGCGGGACCGGGTCTCGACAAACTGACAGAAAGAGAAATACAGGACCTTGTGGGGCTCACATCACCAGGGACAACAGGTGCCAAATCAACACGAGGTGCCGCAGGAGGTAAAACGATTGCGCGCATGGGCGTGGAAGAAGCGGCCCTCGCAGCGAAGAAGCCTCACATGGTGTTGATGCCACGCGCACGAGGCCAAAGAGAGAAACAAGACGCAGACAAGGGCGGCAAGGGAAGTCGCGCAGTGAGTGTTGATTCCGCGATTTCTCCGATCCCGGAACTACAAGAGACCGTTGCCGCTAATTTAGTGCGCGTCGTCGGTGCTTCACCTCCCAGCCGCAAAGGTTCTTTGGCAAGTACTTCTGGCGTAAACTACGACAAGGGGCACAACCGCCGCACCTCTGTCAGTAGTTCTCAACTTGGTGGTGCTGCGTCTTCTAGTATCAAAGGCGGCAAATCTTCCTCGAAAGATCCTTCGTCTGCCATAACCTTCGCCGGACCGGGCTCGGGTGTTAACAGCCACATGATGAACAAGGTGAAAGGTGGGATGAAAAGTCAACACATGAAGAGCGGTGCCAGCACCACGTCCTCAACCGGAACGAGCACTGTACCTCTCGGAAGCAGCCGAGGTGCTGCGATTCTTCCACCCCAGCACTTGGTCCCTGCGTTCGCTGTCAAGCTGAAAAAAGCAGATGCTGACCTGATTGAAATCGAGCATATCGACAATTCGGCTGGCGGCACCGTGGAAGCGGAACCGTTCAAACCGTACCGCTGCAATGCGGTCACGAGCTTTTCCTACTCCAGCGGTCTTGCGCAAAGCCAAATCCACGAGTCAGGGGAAGTCTCGCCGCTCACAGCCTTCCTACTTAAGGACACCAGCAGTGGTGCGCCGGTCAGTCTGAAATTGGAGAGCCACGCTCCTGCTCGAGAAAGTGCTGTTAGTACAACTGGAGGACGGTGATGCTGGAGGCGCTCTTCCTAGCGCTGATATCGCGGCGGCCGTGACCCCTCCGTCAAACATAGCAAGTAAAACAGAGCCAGTTCCTGAATTGTTTCTAACACCGATTTCCGAAGGCGAAAAACCAAAAACATCAAGATGGAAATCAAAGGCAAAGAAACAAGACGACGCTACGACTTCGAAAAGTTGAGGACAGCAGGACATGATCGATGATCGTGAATACTTCTAGTTGAAAAATAGGTAGGTCGTTCTTGTCCAGTACGTCTCCACTTCTCGTTGTATCGTTCAATTAGAATTGCTATTTTCAGCGTCAGGTTCATCGTTGTGGTTGTAAGACACAGTTGAAAATGATATACCAGATAATATTTGTCCAAAGCAGATAGAGTTGCAAGTCTCCACGCAGTAGGAGAAGGGGAAAGTAGTTACTTCGACCTACACCTATGTTAGAATAATTATAAATATATTTATACGAACTATTTTTTCTCATTCCCTCCCTCGTGTGGTGAACTGGGATCGTCTTTTATATTTGTGGACATCGACCATGTGCGTTCCATTGCAACTAAGTACATCTGCTTCCCCTCCCACAGGACCTAGTCTTCACGTCACGAGCAAGATATTTTTACTCCGTTTTTTGTTTTTCATGGACCCCCGGAAAATACTTAATGGTATGACAAGCAACGACACGATGCTTCAGCTTCTAAAAAGGAAGCAGAAACAGGAAAGCATGGGCTGCATAATCATCGTTTACTTCTGACGCTGACCGAAGATGAAAAATAAGCTTTTGATTCTCGCAACATTAAACTTTCCTGATTCGTCATTTACAAGAAGATCAACGCAAAAGCAAATATTATTCTGCCATTTTTAGGGGTGATATGATGTCAGCAACAGCATCTACGTAAATTAACCACACATTATTATGAATGTATTATGACTACATTCAATTTCAAATCAGAATGACTGTTGTACTCGTAATTTGTGTACGTACCTTCTATCTCCCGTATTGAATGCTCACCTCCTCGAGGCGAGCATATTCCCATCCCATCCCGTATTGAAAAAAATGAACCTTAGGCAAGAAAAAGCAGTGCGAGATGGTTTTCGTATTTGTCCATCCACCAAGTCCATAATTAACACCACTAATCGACTTCTAGCACTTTCAACACCCTCTGCCTCGATAGATTTATTTTCGAACAACGAGCAGAATTGAAGAAGATTTTATGTTGACTGGGAGAAACTGGTGAAAATGAAACTGAAACAAAGAAACGCCGTGAGGCCGCGACGACGATGTCAGACATCCATATTTATTTGTCATCAGAGAACAGGAACAGCAGAGTCGCCAAGCCCTTGCCCTGGAGATTGATGCTTTTTGATCTACACGCAGAGTCTTGTTGATGAAGATACGTCGAATGTCAAGTTGTAGATGTTGTTGTACACCAGCACATAGTTTTTTTAATGAATATCATCGATTATGACAAGGACGAGCACGAGTTCCTGCTCAAACAAGACGATGACGACAAGCAACCACTTGTAAAAGAACGAATCTTCGGTTTTGAGCGACAAAAAATTTCCCCACTGATCATCCCCACCACCCTGTAAGCAGTTCACAATCCTGCATGCGGTGACATGAGTCTAGACCCCGAGCATTCTCGGTCCTCTTTTAGTTGACTCTATCAACATTTTCGCGAAGAAAAAGTAGTATTAGATGATGATGAAGCACTATCTTCATATTGCTTTGGAACTACTTTAAGAAATTATGCATGTGAAACAGTTTCTATGTAATTGGTATACTGAGTAAAAATCACTTGTTGGGGTTGCACAACGACTCGTCATGTTGGTCGTCATTCACCGTCATTGCAGTGGTCTGCCACCCATTGGGCATCCTTATCAATCTTAATCGACTTGTTTTTGACAGACTAGAAAAACAGATACCAGCATTGTTCATCAATATTTTTGACATAGAATAAGCAAAACGAACACGACAAAGTCATCAGTCAATATGCGGTCCCAGTCACGGCTTCCTCGATGCGTTAGAGAGAAGATTGGCAGGCAATTGCATGCTCGTGAGGATCACCCGCTTTTCATTGTGCGGCGGATCATCGAGCGACATCTCGCTGGCTTTACGCCTCTCCAAGCTCCGCTTGATCCCGTCGTGACGGTAAAACAAAACTTCGACAATTTGCTGATACCCGCTGACCATCCCAGTCGGAGCCCGTCCGATACCTATTACTGTTCTTCCACTGGTGGCAATGAGCATGAGGAAGGGTGGACTGAATCTGTCTCACGGCGTCGAAAGTGCTTCCGTACACATTTAACCGCGCATGAAGGTGAAAACTATTGGAGAGGCAAATTTCTGATATCCGGTGATGTGTATCGCCGGGACGAAATCGATGGCACCCATTTTCCGGTCTTTCATCAGATGGAAGGGGTAAAGCTGTTTCGTCGACGTTCTAAAGGGCGACAGAACTACTGTGGCAGTGGCAATTGGACTGAAGCTTTTCAAGATCCCGGGAGAAATACAAATACTACAACTAGCGAATCCAAGAACAAAAATTATTACATCGTAGACGAATTAGAATTACATCAATCTTCGCAGGAAGAAGAGCACCAGGAGAAACTTGTGATGGAAGATCTAAAAGCGACATGCGAAGGTGTCGTGGCGCATCTTCTTGGAGATAATCCCGCTTTTCGATGGAATGAGGATTTTTTTCCATTCACACATCCAAGTCTAGAACTTGAGATCGCACGACACAATGCGAGTCCTGCGATGGCGGGAACCACACCAGCTCAAAAGAAAGGCTCTCCTGCCACAAAAGAGCAACATCCGCCGCTTCAACCAGCAGCTAAACAGGAGAAAGACGCGCCTTCCTGGTTGGAGATTCTGGGTTGTGGACTGCTAAAAGGACAAGTTTTACGAGCGCAAGGGATTGACGATGACAAATATTGTGGCTGGGCCTTTGGTTTTGGCCTGGAACGAATAGCAATGCTCCTATTCCAGATCCCGGACATTCGACTTTTTTGCTATGATGCGAATTGATATATAAAATGTTCGCAATATATTCATCTACTAGAAGAACTCGAAGATTGACTTCTGAGTTGAGAATGGTTGAGCTAGCTTGATAAACTTAATCTTGCTTTTTTGTAATCCGATTGTGGGAGTACACGTACAGCTCCAGCATCTACTTACCAAGAAGAGTAAGACTAAGAGACAGTTACACTTACAGTAATATGTGAAGAACTTCTAGTACAAGTGCTTAGTGTTAGTCAGCACGTCGCAAAGTACCAAAGAAGATGCAGATGCACCCAGCACTTGTGCCTTTTCTCACTTCCGCGGCCGTTTTAACGAGAACACACTGCTGGAACTGTTTTGTCCCGCCATTAGGCTAGTAACACTAAATGGGACAACATGATGATGATGATGATGATGCATGATTGCGCGCTCGTCCTCTAATTTATGAGTGAGGACGAACGTTTTCTGTCGCAATTCGAAGGGCTGTCTGCCGATCTTGAAGCGGGTGGCGAGCGTTGGCGAAAAGTGGTGTTTCGACCCTTTTCCAAGTACCCAAGTGTCACAAAGGATCTTAGTTTCTGGCTCCCTAATCCTAACGCTAAGGAGGAGCCTTTCAACGAAAGTGCATTCTTCGAGATAGTGCGTGACGCGGAAAGCACGTTGTTGTCTTGTTCATCTCCAGCTAGCGCTAGCACTTCATCTACATGCTCTACGGATAGTAACAGGACCACGACGACCAGTGCTGATACGCTGCAAACGACCACGTCTTCAAGCGTGGGGGATTATAATGCTAGAAGAAGCCCCTCTTGTTCAGAATATCGGCGACACCAGGAAACTGCTTCCTTACCTACTTTTATGCCACCCAACTACCGTGCTGGAGGAGAGCAAGAACATTACCGTCTTCGTCACTTGGTTGAGTCAGTGAAGTTGATATCTGAGTATTGGGACACCAAAAGTCAGAGGTTGTCGCGAGCTTACCGCATTGTGTACCGAGATATGAGCCGAACTCTGACACACGAGGAAGTGAACTCCATCCAGAATCACATTGTACAGCGCGTGACTGAAGTCCTTCAAGTCAAGATACGCTAGACGTAGTGCAAATCAGTAGTTAACTGTACCAACTGTCACTGGATGCGGATGCGCCATCTCTCTTCAGCCTCCTAAGTAATTTGCTGGAAAGGATGATGACACATGATCTTCCATTCCAGGATCTTCGTGTTCCCTTCTAAGTATGACCATGAGTTCCCTTCCTGCAATGTTCAGAGTAGGCGCCACTTGAACTCCACATCTACATCAGGGCTCGTTCAGGTCTTAGCGGTCTACAACTTCTGAAAAGTGGATCAACATCGTGCAGATGTTCCTGTAAGTATCAAGACTGGTCGTGCTATAAAAATGTTCATCACGATGTGAAGAAGATGTGACGCTCTACTCCAGATGGCAGATCCACGAATTGATGTTCTTGTAGAGCGGCTGCTCGAGAGCTGCACAATTTTTCTTCGCTTCCTATCAAAGATGGCTAACATTTTTCCAAGAACATGCCCTCTCCAGCAGCACGACAGCGTCTTTGCCATCAAGACAGCGTCTTCAAGTACTTGAAGATTCCGAGCACGATGTTGCTGACGAGGATCTTCTTGTGCTGCCTCGTGTTGGGGCCAGGATGGCGACGGCTCCAGCAAAACGATTTTTTAGCCCTTTTCTCTTCAGATGCGGGAAAAGATAGTGAATGCGAAACAAGCGTCCACACTATTTTGGTGTCAGCAGCTCCAGCAGGTAACTACAATATGTGGTCATGCCCACACTGCTACGAAGGAGGGATGGCAGCAGAAGTGTCGGACCTGAGCTGTGAAGACCCAAGCTACGCTCCCAGCACCGGTGACGATGTACCCTGGCGCACGCTGAAAACAGCACTCTTTCAGCTAGTCGAAGATGCAGTGACATCAGCAGCGACGTCGCATGGATTAGAAAAGTTGATTCCATATTTTTATGCGAGAACTTGCTTCCATCGTTTAAGATATTCAAGTTGTGTAGCTACTTCAATCGTTTTTGCATGCAACCTACAGACCTGGTATAACTTATTTTTGAAATGCAGCTCGAACACGAACTCGTGAAAAAGAAATAATTCAATCATTTGCATTTTTGATAGTAGCTCTCGCAGTCTCGCTAAATGCAACCTGATTTCATACTGTAGACATGGCCATGCCACGAAGTCGCTGCTATTTGGGACTGATGTGCTTGAACTTCGTGAAAGTGTACCTGCATCCACCAGAGGACCGATTGGAGTACTTTCAGACTACCAAAATGGGCGGAACCAGCTTCAAAAAGTTGATACCACTGTCGTACTGGGATGTGCTGAACTCTGGTTGGCCCTTGTTCTCGATTTTGGACATTCTGGGGCAGTTGGCTAGGTACGAAGCCAACGTGTTGAAGCTCCCAGCACCTAGAGGTTGGGGTATAAGCGGACTGAGCATGGACATGGAAGGATTTGAAGATACGCCATTCAAAATGAAGACAGCGGCGAGTCGAAATCCTGCTCAACAATCACAAGTGGCGGATGGAGATCATGAAAACACAGCCGAAAATCGTTTTCATAAGACAGTCCAAGAAAGCCTGAGGGCGCAGCTGCTGGAGCACAGGATCGAAAACACTCCCTCATCTCTTGGCACTGTGACAACTTCAGAACAAGGAGAGAGGAGTGAAGGAGCTTTGCCTTATTTGCACAAACCAAAGCAGACTGCAATGCAGGAGCAGCTGCAGGGGCATGAGCAAGGACAAATTCAGCTCTCCGTATCCTTTTCGGAGGTCTCGAAGACTGGGCAAGCAGGGTTTTTCGGAGCCCTCCTGTACCTAGCGGAGCAAGAACACGTATCGCCGTGTCATGGTGGACCTGCGTCCGCGTATTTCACACTGGCTGAAACGCTCATACATAGCGAAGCCCAGTATGTTTCCTCAAATAGCAAAAATAACCGGAGAAATAACCACGTTGATGTCTCGACGACGTTGGGGAACAAAATGTTCAACAGCAACTTCAATACGTTTCCACACGACCAGAGGATCATACCACCAGGTAGTCTTTTTCACATGAATCAGATGCCGCAGAGTCGCGAGTCAGTGCGGAACGCGACGAAAAACTTTGTCTTACTCGGGGAAGCACAAGTCCACAATTGTCAGTCGAATATGACGGTTTATCATCATTTGCGATCAGACTGGAACTATTTCGGTGTGCTCAGCCGTATCGAGAGGCGTCGCGTTTTGCCTGTTCTATTCGGAGACCTGATGACCCAGTGGTACACACCGCCACCGCCTGCTGTGGAACAGACAGAGCGAAAATACAGCGATCTAAAGAGCTCGGTAGCGAAAGTGAACAACGAGGCGCACGAGTCACAGCCTGGAGGTGCAGCATCAACATCCGCGGTCACTTCGAGCACGGAGAGCGTCGTCGAGGATGGACACTCCTGGCAAAGCTCTTGTTTCGGTTTAGCTGGAAGGCAAGATGACAGCAGCCTCAATGACCTGATCCACATTGCTGTCTCTGCAGATGTCAAGCAGATCGACGGCTTTATTGTAGCTCTCAACTCGCTTGTCCGAAAATCAGCGAATAGTGAAAAAACGTGCGTGCATGTCTTTCTGCGAGAGCATGAGCTAGAGTTCATTGCAAAAGGGTTGCAGTGCGCCTTCGGTGAACGTATGGAGACTCGAGAGGCGCGAAGCGGAGGTCATACACATACAGACGCAAGATCGCTATCGCCTTTAGAAAAAGCACTACAAGTAGACATCCAGACGAAGGGAGAAACGCGTCCTCTCACGGACGACTCGCCTCCTTCTACCTCTAGCACGAATAAACAAGGATACGCCAGCCTGGGCACTTTTTGGTTGTATGATCTCTTGCACACAAAAAGCGACTCGTCGAAGGTCTTACTGTCCGCAGCAATGGGCGAAGAACAGGAAGACACAGATGAAGACGGTGACGCAGTAGATGACAAACAAGAATATACAGTTACAGATAGCAGCTCTCTTTCGGAGGATCGAAACTTTTTTATGGATAGGATACAGGAGTTGCAAATTTTATGCTTATGCTTTTTCCTCCGACCTTTTCGCTATATAAATGATGTTGAGCAGGCTTCGCTGTCAGAATGCATAGGAAGGACTAGAAGGCAACTTTTGGCTTCTCCAAGCTCTAATCAATTGCAGCAAACTGCTCACAGAGAGAAGGCGCCTTTGCCGGTCCTCCTGCATCGTCTTGATGAAGAAATGGTTGGGGGATTGTTGGGGCCTCAAGGCGGAGACCAAAAGAAAAGGTTTCGAGTCGGCGCGAGTGATTTCGATGTTAGCAAGGGCTTTCTCCGTGACACAGGAAACCTGTCGGCGCTTCATAACTACGTGAGATTTTTCTTATGGAGCTGTTGATGCAGTAGTTTCTGGTCTTTTTCATTTTTCCAACCGTTGGTTGGGCATTTGTCCTTTTCCTTAGTTGTGGTGCTCTTCAATTTGTACTAGTATTCTGCAGCCCTCTTCAATTTGTACTAGTATCTCGTCCTCTGCAGCCCTCTTCAATTTGTACTAGTATCTCGTCTCCAAATGATTCATCTCTTCTTCTAATACTCCTGCACCGGTTACTTCCGCGATCGATCCGGCATGTGCTCTACTTTGACGTCGATATACTGATAGGCAAGGACCCAAGGCAGTTGTGGGAAGAGTACATGCCGACTCTCGAGAACTCTCGAGCAACTGTCTGCGCAGCGATTCGTCCAAGTTCACCGCTCTTCAACTACTTGCCGTTATGCTGATGTCAAGAATTCCGCAGATATTCATATACAGTTACAGCACTTGTAATGGTATTAAGAGTTCTACTTGTTACAGAAGTTGAAGTCTTAGAGAGAGAACGTGAACACTAACACGAGTTCCTTACGAGGGACTGAAGTCATCATCGTAGTACTAATACTGGCTTACAATGTGATTGCAAATCTCTAAGCCTTGGAGTTCTGTATCCGCATACGCCGGAGTGGGTACCTATGAACAATCCGGCTTTCAATGCTGGCGTTCTGTTCCTTCATCTAGACCGGTGGCGGGAGCGTCCTTTGATTCAGGCTAAACTTGACGCGTGGGTTGCAAGCCGCGATAACAGCGGGCCGGAGACACTCTGTTACGGAGTAGATGCTGAGTATTCACTCACAGTGGTCGTCAGGTTTTGGTCCAACCATGTAATCGAAAAAATGGCTGTGGCACTGTCTTACAACACGACGAAGGCTTTCGAGGACGAAACAGTTTTAGTTTTTTCTTATCCGCCAGTATGAGTATGTTATATCAGAATCCGAGGTATCAATCTTCGATGTTCGAATGTTATACTCATCTAGACATCACCCTCCTTTTCCAACTTACATACCGTTTTTCATACCCGGCGCCACGGTTCTCAGCCTTTGATGCTGCTTTTGTTCCATGACGAAGCGTGTAAGCTGCCGCACCGTTGGAATGTGGATGGGCTGGGACATCGCCTAAACTATCCGAAGCCCATCCTGGAGGATGGTGGTCTCTTTCACTGGACTGGCCCTCTCAAACCTTGGCTCGTGGACGGTGTGAATCTTATGAGAGTGTGAATAAGGTAAAGTTCTGGAGGACAGGTTTACGTTCAGAAGTTTTGGTTTTCAGTGATTCTTGAATGTCTCAGATGAATCAGAATGTGTCAGACAGAAAATCATTATCATATCGTTCGTGAACGCAAAGAACAAGCGCATTATTATGGCTTGTTTGGCTCCTGGTCCTGATTTCGTCCGGAATCCGTATCGTGTTCGTGGTGAAGGCAGCTACTTATCAGTTATAACACAATTATACAGCATGATATTCTTCGTAGACATGTTGATGTACGTGACACCGTCTAAATGCCGCAGATTATGGGAGCCCTACACGGTGAATTACTGTCCGAGGTATTCTTTTCGCGTACATACAACAACCTGTCGGCCCGATTCGTGGTATTGTTAGCGGTGCCGGAGCGAAGGCGAGCAAGGGATACGGATATTAGTTGTGTCACACGTTCTTGCATCTGCGTTGTCATTTCACCGATGTCGTCACTAGAAGTTCTACTTTTTCGTTTACTGCTAGAGTCTAATATCTTTCTTTCTTCTTATAGGAATATGAATATGCCGCTTTGAGTTGTGTCTGAATCGTTCATTTACTTCTTGAACAGGAAATTTTGTATCTGTAGCTCAACTTTTCATTTTCTGGGACCCTCGCCAAAGGGCAACATGAATGATTGGTTTTTTAGGCTGTCTGTATCACAACCCTGCTCTCTTCAGGGTAACTAAAAGACAGGATTATTCCAGAGCTAGCTACTTGCTTGATTCTGAACCGGGAATCTTCGAGGAAGACGTGCCTCCCGCGTCAAATGTCTTTCGACGAATCTGGAATAGGTTCTGGTAAATGTGAAAACTGAAAAGGTATCGATAATAAACGCATCTGCATTATGTAGTAGAAGTGCTCGAAAATAAAAAAACAGTTTATGATTCAAAATCAATTCTAGAAGAAGGAGAACGAATTATCTTCGTAGAACAGTGCCGAAGAGGAGACACCGACGCCAGTAGTTGCGGGATATACGCCTCTAGTAAATACCCTCTTGCACCACCCGCGTTTTCGTTTTCGTATCTTCAAATATTTTTCTGAGAAGCAAGACCAAAGCTTTCGAGCAACACAAGCAAATGGCATACAGCAAGCGCTACGGAGAAGCTGACCGTGGTTGCTCAGACAGAACAGGGCCCGAATGCTAATGCGGCCCTTGCGCTCGTCGACTCTTGACAGTTATACCTATAGCGGTCCCTGCGTTTGGTCTCCATCAGTAGCCTTGCTGGTCTCGAGCAAGGAAGCACTACACGACGACAAGTGTGGTATCCGTCTCCTGCAATCACCGTCGTTTGGCGTCGAATAAAGTCGTTAGAACGAGAGCTACGTCGGCATCACGAGAGGAGGATTCGTGACATGGTTCTGGGGCAACGTGAACCTGCAGCAGTACCAATTTTTTCTCAGGTACAACTCCAAAAGTGACGTCGAATTGAGACTGGCTGCAGTGATGGTTGCAGGAAACAAGACGAATTTCAAAGTCGGCGACCGCGTCCATGCCCGATGGGTTCAAAATGGCTCTTACTACCCCGCGACGATCAAAGAACTCAGGGCGAAAAAGGGTATCTTGTACAGGTTGAGAATGTGAATGATTTTGCTTTCCTCGGATCACCAACACTATCGCACGCGCACCATATGAAGTCGGAAAATTTTGCTTTCGGATCACCAAACCTATATATGACGCAGGGCCGAACGGCCCCCCCAACACCCCCTTGGGGTCTGGTCTGTGGTGGCGCGCCCGCGCGCTTTTCCGCGCGGATTTTTCGCGGATTCTAGTGATGGAAGGCGTCAAAACCTGGCGCGGGCCTCCCCTTGGGCCTCTCAGCGTGATCCTAAGGGCCACGGTCGCAAGAGCAAGCAAGCCGATGACCAAGGGCCCGGAGGGTACGGGCGGCACGGCTCAGGGGGTCCAGCCCCTCGCCTTTTGCCGTCTTCGGAGGCCTTCCGCCGCCGGTGCACTGCTGCGGCGGCGAAGCGTAACGGATGCACTGAGGGCGCAGGCGGTCCCGTGGGCCCCTTTTGTCTATTGCCATCTAACCCCTCGAGTCTGTAGGTTACATGCAAACGAGAAGGAGGCAGCGAGCCCCTTGGCCCCCCCTTGAGGCCTTCCACCTACTTCCCAGGCCTCCAGGGGACACAAAGCTCCGGGAAGGGGCCGGGGGGGGCCCTTGGCCCCCTTTTGGGGCCTTCCCCCCCCGGCAGACGCCTCCAAAAGGGGCCCAGGGCGCCCGGCCCCCCCCGGGGCCGTCGGCCCGCGCCCTGGAACCTATATAAAATGTTCAGCAGAAGTCCTTATTGTACTTTCAGTTCATACTCATTCCTCAACATCGAGAACATGAATTCTGTTCATCAGGTCAAGCAGTAGTCGATTGGGACGATGGCGACACTATTGACCGCATTGTCCCTTTGCTGGACCTCACTTTGGTCGACGATGCGAAGCCATCCACGAGACAGCACATCGACGATGTCTGCATCGTCAAGGACCTGCCGAACAAGGGTCGCTGCCTTTTCACCCGAGACGCGCTGAGAGCAGGGGACGTCATCTTCTGCGAAAAGGCCACGCTAGTAGCCATAGAAAGCAAGAGGCAAGACCTGTGGGATGTGCTCAAGGAAATGCACGAAGAAGAATGTTTCGATCTAGGAACATGGACATTCTTGTACGCATCCTTGCTCTCGCTCTTGACGCTTCCCGAAGAAGATATCAAGGTAGATCTGGAAGGGGTTGAAAAATTACATCAAATCATTTCTACATCATTCAATCGTCCGGACAGCTAGTAGATGAATTAGGCCATGTTTTAACTCGTCCGCATTGTTTTTCTAATATTTCGGAAGAAAGATTCAGTTTTCCCGGCTCATGGGCGCAATAAAGCCATGCTCTCAGAAGTACAAGTAGATGGGAGCTTAACAGGAACACACTACAGGTAGTAGCAGACAAGTTCGTGCCAGATGGGGAGAACGAGGTGATATCAGACGATGTGGAGCGGGTCTTCCGTGACCTCGATTTCGTGAAGGTCTTCAATAAGGGACGAGCCTTCCCATCAGGGAGAACGTACACAAAGCACCTTGTGCAGGTACAAGACTTAGAAGATGAATAAATAGAGAATTCGATAGCGATACTTGCTTTCATCTCGTTCTTCATCTGTGCTTTGTCGTATCCGCTCGCTAGCACTACAAACAAACTGAAAGTTTTTTCTTCAATGCAACCACCACTACCACAGAATCTTATCAATGCGTGGCGGTATAACTCGTTTGGTCACCACACCGAAGACGGGCTGGTCTTGTATAATAGGATAAGCATGATGGCGCATGGGTGCGATCCGAGCTGCTGTTGGACCTATGGCGATGAGGATAGTTTCGTTCTGCGATCACGAGTAGCACTTCCGCCCGGAGGAGAACTTACCATCAGCTACCTTCAGGTATAGCTACAAACAGAGAAACTCTTGGTCTTGCGTTGGTTGTGGATGGTGATCGACGTCATGGATTTTTTTTTGTTGGCTGCTCTGCAATTCTGGTCAAAGAAAGTACTTGCTTCACTCACACAGGATGACGACCTCCTGAAGGGCACAGACGTACGGCGGGGTAAGCTAGAAAATTGGAGGTTTACGTGTGCCTGTAGCCGCTGCAGTCTCAAGGTGGACCTTTGCCGAGGATTTCGTTGTCTCAAGTGCAGGGTTGGCGCACACTATTATAAAGAAAACTTCGACCGAGACCATGAAAAGGAGCTCAAGATTATGACGGGTTTACAATCCTGTCGAAGCAAGTAGTACTATTGTGTCTGTGTCGTGGCCAGAATGTCAAGAATCCCATGAGAAGATGCCGGCTTTATCGAAAGCAAAGATAGATCAGAAACAAGTTGACCACCATCATCTGAACCTCCACAGCATGACTGGCTTAAGAGTCTTGAGAGCCTCTTCTAAACTACGCAAAGCAACGCCGTTTGCTATAGGGATGAAGCCGAGTAACAGCAACGTCGAGTCGACGCACTTTGGACGGAGCAGTCAGAAGATCCTAATGCAAGAAAAGTTTTTGAAATTCCACAAGCACAACATGGACATGCTCCAGTCACCCAGAGCGATGGCATCGTCCTCCTATGGTGGGGTTATGAGTAGACGGAGTCCTATAATATTATAAATGAATCACGGATCTTAATCTTTTTTTGTCCTCCTTGGGCTTTTACTAGACGACGTCTATAATTGACGAATTGGAATTTTAGAGACTACATCTACCAAAAGAGTTTCGCTAATACCCAAGCTCGTCGTCCTCCTCGTCTTCGTCGGCGAGCAGCGCGCAAATGAAGATGGATGTCGCGAACGCTATAACTACGGCGGATATCATGTCCTTAGAAGATAGTGCAAGTCCAAGATCGAACAGGAGAAGCAATGATATGAATAGAAAAGACCTGAGTTTATCATTTTTTTGGCTTAACCTTAATCTGCCTAATGTACATGTAGTATCTTTTTCTTTTTTGACCTTGTCGATGGAAAAAGGCTCGACGGACGTCCTCAAAGTACTTAGGCAGCTTGAGCATAGACGTTGGCTTCGTGGGTAGAAAAGTTATTCCCTAGTTAGTATTTAATCTAATCCCTGAAAAGGCAGTCCCGGGAAAGTTCGACCGCACGAGTGGCTCACGCCCTGTGACGTCTGCCATGACGCATGTAACGATTTTTCTGCGAAACAGTGTCTTGACCTAGAACCCGAATACACACAGAGGATTGAAGCGCTCGATAAAACCAACATACAAGACGTGGAATTGGTATTCTTTCTTTTTGTTTTATCCAATTTGTTTAATTTTCAGAACACGAAAAAGTGAAGTCAATATCGCTGTCTTTTACCTGGATTTTTGCGCCATCGACGGTAGATGACAAGATTATGAACCAATAGCGATTGCGTCAATACAGCAACGAGTCATATTTTTAGTTTTACTAGCTTTTAAGAAGTTGTACGGTGTAAATTTAAATCACATTCTTGTTATTGTCCTTTCACTTTTCGACCTTCAAAAACAAAAACTACAGGTTTATAATGCGGCTTTGGACTTTTTTCATGAGAACCACTGGTGTGTGAACGCGTGCGAGCAGATATTGGCTGAGCACTACCAGGAAAATGACAAGGGGACGTCGATTCAGCATTTGAGGAATCGAGTTTTATTCCATGAGCGCTGTTTCGGCAGACCCAGTTTTATATGTTAAGACCCGTATTACGATTAAAATTATAACTTCGTCGTGAAACAAATTGAGAAAAATATTATGTAGTCCTCTTAGAGGGCAGAGCTGCAGTAGGGATCGAAAAAAAACAATCAAAAAGGCGATGGCTGATGTAATTTCTATTTCGCTATTTCTATATATAACCTTTTTACTACAACGACATGTTCTTGTATCCAGAACAAGGGGGGACTAAGTAGAGTGTCTTCTAATTTCAGGCTGGAGATTTGGAAACTCTTGCAGATATGTTGCAGAAAAGCATACTGGGAAGTCCAAGCAGCAAGGATAAGAAGAGCACAGCGGACAAGGCCACAAGCTCTCCGGGACCAGGATCGAAGCCGCAAACTCAAATGACGAAGCTCTCAGAGTGCCTCAATTTATATCGAAAAGCACAGTCGCAGTTTTCGGTGTTGTGCGGTCCCAGTCATCCCTATTCACTAGCGACGCAGAACAAATGGCATGCAGTGCAGCATCGCGTCAATGCTCTTGCAACGGCTCCAACTTAGCTACTTGCCTTTATCTTATATTTTATTAATAGTGGCAGCGATGTTGGCACATGTGTTCGCTTACCAGCATTTTCTCAACACTACCGCGGCCGCTTTGAGAATTGTGAAGCCGGGCAAGGAAGCATACTGAAACTTACAAGTAGTTCAAACAGAAACATGATGACGACAAATTAAGCCTACTAGTGACCTTCTTGTTCTCCCTTCAATATCTTCTCTTCTCAACTCTTCTTCTCTTTCTCTCCGTTCAATTTCGTTTCCTGTTTCGGTTTTCTTTGTCTTACAGATTCAGATACGAAATATACATCCTGCGAGTCCGATGTTGTCTAGTATAAAGGTTTTTGAAAATAAGTTGAAGTTACCAAATTAGTCGAGCAGTCGTGGTGGGACAGCGAGCGCCATCCCATCGCCCACGTTCGAAGAACAGCAACAGGGAAACGTTTCGCGAACCCGAATCATCGCAGTGAAATTAAATCTTCAACTCAGTTAATGGCAAAGATAATGTTAATGTTCGGCGTAGTTGTAGCTGTTACTCCTACTAGTAAGGGTTTACAAGGATCATTGATGCAGTGCACGTTCAGTTAGTGTCAGATCATCGGGATGACCATGAATAGCTCCTGAATACTTGAATTACAGATCGATGAGAAGATAGAGAAAACATAACTTTATCGATGGACGATGTGTCATGATGCCTTTTAGTTTTTACATATGAGGAAGTACCGGATTGATCTAAGCCCTTCGTGCTTCTGCTTGACACGGTTACGGCTTCGGAGGCTAACCAGCAAATGCAAACGAGAGAGCAGTCACTCTCATCACTTATTTCCTTTGATGCACTGTGTCTGTGTCTGTGACTGTCACGACTTCAATTCCGATTTTTATAGTCGTGGACATGGCTAAGTATTTTCAATCGCATAGAGCAGTAGCATCACTGTACAGAAGCAATGTCACGTAGGTACTAGGTAGCCGGCACCATATCACGTTGGTAGCCGATTCCGAGCTACGTCATGTTCATAAAAAAAGTTCATACATGGTCGATATTCCAGTCATCTTGCTGATTCGTGAGGGTACATTGTTGTACTTGTACTATTCGCTGTGTTGATTCAACTTCAAAAAGGTATGGGTTTACTAGAAGTAGAATTTTTACTAGTAGGCAATTCTACTGAATGGTAGTATGAAGACATCGATGAAGATGATCTTCATGTTTCGTGTAGCCGCCGAGTTTTTTACCGCCATGGATTGTATCGCAGCATTTGTTGGCAACCGCGTCCGCGTCAGGTTTTTTGGGTGTCTACGAATCAATGTTCGATGAAAGAAATACGAATAACAGAGAGATGATAATAGTGCATTTTCAAAGAAAAGTCGCGCGGGTTTTTGTGGTTCTCTCACCCGGTGAGGTAGACAAAATTGAAAGGAAGTGTTTCAAATACGAGGCTTACCTTTTCTCTGATGTAATGCAATGAGGTGGGGTCTAAAATTTCCATCTTCTGTTCTGGGGTTGAGGATATCCATACGTGCTGTTGTCTGTGGTTTAGGTGTATCACAGGAGGCATGCGTGAGAGAAAACCACGCCAAGCTGATGAAGGACAGCACTAAATCAATTTTGGTGAAGAATTTTCACAGCGTTTTCTGTTTCTCTAAGCATCACAGATCCATGCCCAAGGGCGAGAGTTTTAGGTCAAAATATCACTTCACAACGCTTCATTTTGTTGAATGATCATCCAGCACCTTCTTCAGCTCTACTCATTATTGATTACTTCTTACGTTGTGGATCTCCAGCATCTCGTCTAAGTACGTTTTTACGACAAGGAAAGATATTTAAACCGCTATATTGGCGTTGACGAGATTGTCATCTCGATTTCATTTTATGTCGAATGCGATAAATGTGAATGAAATTGTCACCACTGTTATCATCGAAGAATGAAAAATGGAAGCCCGTGAGGATGGAGGATTTCCTGGTGCTAAGCGACCTGCAGCGACAGCGAGTGCGAAAGTAGCCAGTGTTGGGAATTTAGTGACCGCAGGAGTACTTCCTATGACAGCACGCGGAACTACAATGACAGCAGGAGGGGGCTCCGGTAGTATATCTCTGGCAGGACCAACTTCAGCAGGTGTCGATCCCGCACAACTCTCGATGACTATGGTGGACGCAGGAGGAGACTGCGACGAGGTGGATCATGCGCCAGAAGTTGGCAGCAAAGTGAGGAAACGAGATCCAGCCGCAATGAAAAGCAGCAAAGCCGCAGAAACGTTAGGGTCGAAGTCCTCTTCAACAACCTCAACGGCAAAAGCGGGAGAAAAAGTGCAATTCGCATTGCCACCTGGTATTGATAGCGTAGCCTTCGCGGCGAAGTTCAGGGAGCTATTCTCTTCGTTCGGCGCACCGCCCACAGGAGTCGCGGGTCCATCCGTTTCGGCTGCAGCGCCGTCTTCATCTACAGTGCACAATTCCACGTCAACCTCAACGGAAACGACAGAATCATCAACAGAAGCTGTTACAATCGAAAACAAAAAACTTTTGGATTTACAACGCCTCCTAGTCGATAACAAAGAGCTCTTGCAGGAAGCAGGATTCTCCCTAAGCAGTCCAAGCTCTGTAGTTCCAGTGGCGTCCGCGGCGAAGCCACCTCCACTTATGATCTTCTGTCAGCAAAACCTAGAGCAAAGGTAGAAGGCCTATAAAGTGTAAGTAGCATGAAAGGACCTTTCAGAAAAGTAGGAGGATGACCACACCTTCCGCTTTGTCAGCTGGTACACGCCAACGAACTCTTTCTCTTGGTGATATTACATCCTCGTTGTTTACCTTCATCTAGTATGCCGCTTTGGATGCCAAAATATTTAGAAGAATCGGAATCCCCTACTGGTACTGCTCTCCTGTTGCTTTCATTGTCTTACTCGACGTAGCCGCGGCTCCGTTGCTAAGCCAGATTAGTGTGACTGCGCAAAAGCAAGAGAACAGCGTTTTTGGCCAGATCTCCAAATCTGTGGTCAAAATCTACAATACAAGTGCCTCTTACGACTACGATAACCCGTGGAGCGCGCCAAAACAGGGACAAGGGCACGGATCCGGCTTTATCATCTCCAAGAACAGAATCGTCACAAACGCACACGTGGTCAGCAACACTACCTTTATCCAAGTTCGAAAGGCGGGTACCAGTAAGAAATTTCCCGCGAAGCTGCGGAGGATCTTGCACTCAGTGGACCTGGCGCTCCTAGAACTCGATGCGGAAGCCATTGCAACTGGAAACACCAAGAAACCGTCGAAAAGCAAAGCTGTTACAGCGGCTGCAGCAGCGCAAAGAGCTCCTAGTCAAGTAGAACCTTCTGGGACTCCTGGGACTGGGTTAACAGGTAATATAATTGATCCCGTTTTGGAAAAGAAGAAGGAGAAAGCCATAGAAGATTTCTTTCGGGGCACGATTGCTCTGGAATTTGGCGAAACGCCGCGCGTTGGAGACGAAGTTTTTGCTTATGGTTTCCCCTGGGGTGGGGAAGAAATGAGCCTTACCAAAGGCGTCGTCTCCCGTGTGGAGATGAATGAAGCTGCGCACGGCTCCGGAAGTGAAGTGCTATCCTGCGACATGGATACGGCGATAGTCGGCGGAAATTCAGGTGGTCCAGTCATCGGTGGTCACGGGAGCACCCTCGTTGTGGGAGTCGTTTTCCAAGGGTATCTACTTCACTACACAACATCATGATATTGATATCGTTGCGACTACCTTCTACTTACTTCTTCATTTTCATAAGCGTATTCTCTCTCAGTCTCAGAAATCTTGGTGGCCGATGTAAACAGTGAAGACTGGCGCACTATCTCCTACGATGTTCATCAACGATAACTGTACCAACAACATGTACTTCTTGTCCTCGTATGATGAAGCTAGTACTCTAATATATAAAACTAAACAAGAACGGTGGTCGATGAGTATGAGATAAGACCTTGTTCATCTGAACTTCGACAATACAACCCAGATACGACTCAAAGCCTGGTGGCTACATGATCGCGGTCGAGGTGTTGAAGCGCGTGGTTGAACTGGATGACGAGGGGCGAAGCCTGATCACTCCGTCGACAGGTATCACTGCCCAGAAGTTGGAGAACAGGTCTCTAAGGCGCGCATTGGGCCTCGACGAGCGAACTACGGAGGATGCTATGTCTCCGAAACGAGGCGCGAAAGAAGGGACGGAAGATGAAAATGCTGCATCGGCAATGGACGACGTGCGCTCTGTAGAATCTCCGAACGAAAAAGGGGGGTCAACTCATCAACAGGGGAACGAAGGAAAAGCCATGACTTCACCGCTGACCGCAGTTGTAGAGGGGACAAAAAATGTTGTTGAGGAAAATCAAAATCTTGCGGAGGATGATACGAATTGCGATGGTCAACCAGCAGCCACAACTGAGATTGTGAAAGCGAAGGATGGCACTCCCATCGCAGTCACGCGTGTAGCAGCAAAAGGAGAAGGCGCGATCGAAGTTAAGGCTACTTGTTCCAGTTTGGTGATGCTCAAAGAAATTCAGAACTCTTTTATAAGTAACCCAAAGAATAACTGGCTGAACAAGCTGGTGAGAGCAGCTCCTCTCCAGATTGATATGATCGACAGCACGCATAATCCATAATGTTAGTTCGCGTCAGATGAATTATTCTACCTCAGTTCCTCGCCGTCTTCTAATCCTAGTGGCATCATGATTTGTCGCGTAGGCGACTACTCGCCGTTGAGCAATATTTTGCTGCCGAACGACGTTCTCCTTCAGATCGAAAAGTATGAGATCGGTGAGAACGGAACAATCGAACTGCGACCAGGCGAGCGTACTCGATGGACGCATGCATGCTACACCGGGAAAACCATAGGCGAATCGATTTTCTTCAAGTGGTTTAGAAATGGTATTCGTTGTTGCATTGGACTATACTATTACTATCACTAGTAAGTTGTACTTGTATCATCTTCTATCTAAGAACCTGGTAGAGTTTGTTCAGGGCTTCGCTTTTCGTTGTTGCACATTTTTTACTACTACCACACGCACACGCTTGAATAACTAGTATCTTGTCAACAATAAAAATCAAAGGTAATTTCTATTCCGGAACGGTTCCGTTAACAGTGACACCGGGGGATGTGAAATATGCTATCGAATATCTCTACGACGTGAGACCGCAGTTTGTTTTGAGAGGCGGTGCTGTATTTCAGCCGCTCACCCGGAACCTGTGTATGAAAGGCGCTGGCGTGCGTCCGCGTATCAAAGCACTCATGTACGACTACCGGACGCGGGACAACCATGACTTCGTCGTTTTGACGAAGGTGCTTCAGGCGGACCTGACCGCGGGGTACGACCGGGTCCGATACATGATAGTTGAGCGGATTAATGGAGAAGAAATACGAACGCTGCAAGATGTCGTGAAGGCGTTCGACGGACGAGAACCACATCAAGCACAAGCAGCAAGTCTAGAGCTAGAGGAAGAAGCTGATGAGGCAGGTTCGTTAACACCACGTAGTGCCTTTCGACAAGCCCTTCGGCATAAAAAAGACGCAACTACATCATCTACATCCAGTTCTAGTACTAACACTAGTACAACCAGCACAACCACAACAGCTGGAGCAGGAGAGGGGGCCGGCGCCAGTGCTGGAGCAGAAAAGAGCACAGGCGCGGACGAGACTCCCCTTCGGGGCAACAGCTCCGAAAGAACCTATACGATAGTTATGTCGAGCAACCTTGTTCATGGGAAAATGGATAGAGAAGGAATATACAAAATGAAAGTTTTACTTTTAGCGTCCAAGGTGTAACAAGTTGGACCTCCTACAACTAGCCAATTATACATTTACTTTTCACGAACACGACCGTCGTTCGATTTGGTCGAGACTCCAGTATATGTATATCAAAGTACAACCCCTAAAAAACAGTCTATGATATAGATCTAGTGGCCCACCACATTTTTTATCGCACAACTTCTAAAGCTGAGCTGGAAAACGGACAGGCAGTGGTTCTGATTTCCTCGAGCTTAGCTGAAGATACAAAGAAGATCGCTGCGACGTACCACGTGCCTCTCTTAGAGCATCTTGCATCATAACGACTACGTCTACGAGGATCTGAAGGCAACGTCCAGCAACATTTCTTCTTTTAGTGGAAGAAGCAGCTTTCCCCGCCCCTGTCGCATTCGCAATGACGACCGTCCTCTTAGGCCGCCTGTGACAGCACAGGTCGTGATCGTGTGTGATTGATGTGCTGGTGGTCATCAAAATGGTAGTAGTGAGTGTTGTTGTTATACATACAAGAAACCGGGGTCGCCCCTTGGGCGACCCCTCCTTGATAACAGCACCGTCACAGGCACAGAGTAGAAACATAAGAGAAAGCAAAAAAAAAGCGACTGAGGCACGGAGCGCCCGCCCCTTGGCTTTGGCGGCTGCCGTCGAGATGATGGAGAAGAACAAAGACCGAAGCAACCCACGGAACCCAGAACCCTTGCGCGCGGAATCAATTAGGCACGCCACGCCAATGAGACAGGCCCGGCGGGCATTCATGCGTGCGCGGGGGCGGGCCGGAGGTGTTGCCAATGCCGTAAGGTGCGCCTGACGTCGGTGAGCCCTCCCAAGCCCGCGCGCCCTGCTCGTCTTGTTCGCTGGTCCCGCTCAGCTTGCCCAGGCAGTTTGGCCGGGGCCAGCTTTGGCCGCTCAAGCCTCTCCGGTTTGAGCTGCCCGCGTTCTCGCCTAAGGCTAGCTGACTGCCCTCGGGTTTGTTCTTTGGCTCAACGAGCGGGGGCTGCCCATCGATCCCGCCTCGGCCCCCAAAGTGCCCCACGACCTCCCCAAACGCAGCACGACCGACCTCCCAAACACAGCGCGACCTCCCAAACACAGCGCGACCCCTTAAGCACCGCACGGCCCCAAGCTACAACGTGGCCACGCAGTCGCAGCGCGTCCCCCAAGCAACACACGAAGCACCGAAGACACCACGGCCCCCCAAACTTATTAACACACCACGACCACCAAGAAGACACAGCGCGACCCTCCAGGCAACCCACTACGGCCCCCAGAAGACAATATGAGCACGAGCATAGGGGCACAGCATGACCCCCCGCGCAAATTACTACAGACAGCCAGCCCCCAAAAGACAAAGGAAGCAACCCCGCAGACAACACGCAGCCCCTGGGCTATGACATGACCCGCCCCCTAAAAAAAAGAGCAAAACCGCAAGAGGCACCACGACCCCCTTGCGGCACCCCCTGACCCCAAACCCCCAAAGGCACTGCATGGCAAACCATAAAACTGAGCACGGCCCCAAAGGCACGGCGTGACCCCCAGGCACAGCATAGACCCACAGAGGGACACATGGCCGGACATGAGGCATGACAACCAAGACACACCAGCACGACCGCCAAAGAGACAGCGCGACGAACTTCCAAAACAACACAGCACCCCCAAAACAGCACGGACCCCAAAACACAGCAAGACCCCGAAGGGCACAGCACTACCACCCTGAACACACCGCGGCGACGAGGACGACTAAGACACCCCACGACCCCAAAGGACCACCATG